TTTGAAGAGGCATGAATGGAGAGAAAAATGTGCCAAGAGGAAGGCGTGTCAAGCCAACCCCAACCAGAACCGCCTTTCACCTGGAAACCAATGCCCTCACTGTGGGAGAAGATGCAGATCAAGAATAGGGCTGCATGTTTTCTACATTCATAGGGAAAGGACTGGAAAGTGAGAGGGTTGCATTATCCCCATGGAGAGCCTTGGTGGGTTGCCCATCTCCCAAATTACAAAAGGGTGGCTCCAAATTCCTGTGTAGGAATTGTATTAAGGGGTTGCGGCATTAGAAAGGTTGAGAAACACTGACTTAATCCAATGAGATTTGTAAGTAGGGCAGCCAAGAATCGCAATTTACCAAAACTTGTTTTCAAACTCGCTTTAAAAATTACCATAGCATTTGTAGGACAATAAGTGAAGAAGGTTGATGAAGGAATTCAGGTCTCATGGAGAGACAGAATAGGCATAAGGACCTACATGTTAAGCTGTTCTCATCCTAAAATGAAGTGTGTTTGGGAGGGTGGCATTGGTTAAACCAGGGGTCCTCAAACTAAGGCCCAGGGGCCGCATACAGCCCTCCAAGGTTACCCAGCCCTCACTCAGAGTCAACTTAAGTCTGAAACTACTTGAAATCACACAAAAACAAACCTTTCTCATCAGCCAAAAGCAGATCCACACTTCCCATTGAAATACTAATAAGTTTATGTTGATTAAAATTGTTCTTCATTTTAATTATTGTATTGTTTTTAAGTGTTTTTTGCACTACAAATAAGATATTTGCAGTGTGAACAGGAATTAATTCTTTTTTCTTCAAATTATAATCCAGCCGTCCAACAGTTTGAGGGACGGTGACCTGGCCTTTGTTTAAAAAGTTTGAGGACCCCTGGGTTAAACTATATAGAGAAAAGAAATATCATTGTGCTTAAGAAGAAGGGGGGGACCTTAAATGGCGGTGTGTTAAATTAAGCAGAAAGCCTCAAGGAAGGAGCTTGGAAAAAATAGTCTAGGGAATAGGGGGAGCAAGAAGTAATTCAAAGAAAAATCAAAGGGAAGGCAAACTAGAAAAGGCAATATGTAGAGAACTAGATGATAAGAGTACCAAAAGTTCACACAGTGACTTAAAAGCATAACCATCTGAAACTTTGGCTTCTGGCATGAAATATATACGTAATGGGTTGTTATAGGTTTTTTCGGGCTATATGGCCACGTTCTAAAGGCATTTTCTCCTGGCGTTTCGCCTGCATCTATGGCAAGCATCCTCAGAAGTACTGCTTGCCATAGATGCAGGTGAAACGTCAGGAGAAAATGCCTTCCCTTAGAACATGGCTATATAGTCCAAAAAAACCTACAACAACCCAGTGATTTCGGCCATGAAAGCCTTCGACAATATATACCTAATGTTCCTCCAATCTACACTTTTCCAACAGAGAACCTCCAAAATATCATTTGAACCAAAAATAATTATGATGTTACTCTTCTCTTGATTTCCTGCCCCTCCATTTTGTAGAAACAGCATTAACTTCTCACAATAGCAGCCTTTTCTATTCAACCCTAAGAAGACATGCAATCTGAGAAGTACAATTCATATATTGTATAGCCATTCAGTGAAGAAAAACAATCTATACATTTTTCCTTCTCTGAGTCAGTCTCTTAGACTTTCCAGAGATTTAAATGTATTTCTCCACTCAATCCCCAAAAAGAAAGATATAAGAACACTCTTCCCACAGTATTAGATTGACTTGTGTGTTTTTGCTACATGTTAAAATGCTAAGACCTTTGTCTTTAGAAAACTGCTCTCGTCCAAGACAAAAGTAAAACAGCACAAAGTGAGCTGCAAATTGAAGATCAATGCAGATAACCGGGCACTACATAAAGCTGTCCTGATCCCTGAGACTAAACTTGTGGCATTTAAAAGGTCTGAAAAAGGAGAAGTAATGCCCTGAAGGTATTACACTATGTAAACATGCTTAAAGGAGGGGGAGAGAAACAAAAGGGGAAGACTGTAAATCACCTAAGAAACCAAAACTAGAGATAGGAAAGAGAGACTTAGGGCGCTTCCAGACAGTGCCAAATCGCGGGATTTCTAAGAGAGACCAAAAAAAAAACAAAAAACAAAAACAGGCCCTCAGAGCAAGTTTCCACATTAAACTGACAATCCCGGGATTTCTTCCCACACTATCCTCACTGGCCTCCCTTCTGTGTCTCAGGATAAAATGGAGGGCAGACGGAAGACATTTTTTTAAGTATACGATTATGTGCTGATCCATATATGTGCATATCCTAATACAGGGGTCCTCAAACTTTTTAAACAGAGGGCCAGGTCACAGTCCCTCAAATGGTTGGAGAACCGGATTCTAATTTGAAAAAAACATGAATGAATTCCTATGCACACTGCACATATCTCATTTGTCGTACAAAAAACAGCTCAAAGCCAACTTTAAAATCTCTGGTATAGACACTGAGAACTGGGAAGCCCTGGCCCATGAGCGCTCCAGCTGGAGGTCAGCTGTGACCAGCAGTGCTGCAGAATTTGAAGACTCAAGAATGGAGGGCGAAAGAGAGAAACGTGCCAAGAGGAAGGCATGTCAAGCCAACCCCGACGGGACCACCTTCCACCTGGAAACCAATGCCCTCACTGTGGGAGACGATGCAGATAAACGGTTTGGGACCAGCCTACCTTCGTGCCCGTATCTCCCTCCATGTACAATCTCGGGCCCTCCGTTCATCTGGGGAGGCCCTTCTTTCGCCCCTGCCAGCTTCACAAGCTCACTTGGTAAGCACAAGGGAGACAACTTTCTCCTCTATGGCCCCCCAACTCACTACCTGGAGAAATTAGGAAAGCCCCTACCCTAGAAACCTTTAAAAAGGATCTTAAAACCTGGCTCTTCCACTGCGCCGTTGGAGATTAGGTATACAATCCCACACTACTGCTTAGCCTCAATGTTCTGTCATTGGAGTATATGTCGTCCCCACTCTGTGGGAAAGCTTAATTCCTCAACCCCCGCGATAATCTGTCCTTATTATCTCGCCCGAGTTTTAAATTAGTTTTAATTAGTCTCTCTTTTAATCATTACATGCAGCACGCACATTGTCATTGTGATTGCCTCTATTGTAACTTTATATTGTTATGTATTTACATGTTTAATTTTATTATGATGTTGCTGTTTACTGTTTGCGTTTTCAGTTGTGTTTTGGTTTTATTTTATTGTAATTTGTTGTTTGGGTTTAGCCTCATGTAAGCCGCTCCGAGTCCCCACTGGGGAGATGGTGGCGGGGTATAAATAAAGTTTATTATTATATATTTATTATCATGAATAGGGCTCCACAGTCACCTACGGACCCACCCTGGAGGATTATCCAACTCGGACAACGGGGATCGCCTAAGTAAGTAAGTAAAGAAGCTGAAACCAGATGTGTTATTTTGGCACAGAAAACTGAATGTCCTACAAAAAACCCTCCTTGCCTGCTAGCAATTAAAATACAACAATACAATAACAACAAAGTCAATAATTAACAAAATATGATGCCTAAGGTGATTGTTTCCTGATAGGGCCAACAAAAAGCTGCTGTATTGCTCATTTGCTATCAAACAACCACTACAGCAGACAAAGTCCAGAAGAGATCAGATTAAGGGTCCTTTCATACAGCCATATAACCCAGAATATCAAGTCATATAATCTACAACAGGGGTGTTCAAACTTTTTAAACAGAGGGCCAGGCTACACTCCCTCAAACTGTTGGAGGGCCGAATTATAATTTGAAAACAGCATGAATGAATTCCTATGCACTCTGCACATATCTTATTTGTACTGCAAAGAGCACTTAAAACAATACAATAATTGAAATGAAGAACAATTTTAACAAATATAAACTTATTAGAATTTCAGTGGGAAGTCCAGACTTGCTTTTTGGCTGATGAGACGGGATTGTTGTAGTGGTGTGCTTTCAAGTCGTTTCAGATTTACGTTGACCCTGAGCGAGGGCCGGGTAAATGACCTTGGAGGGCCGTATCCTGCCTTCGGGGCGGATAAATGACCTTGGAGGGCCGTATCCTGCCCTCGGGCCGGGTAAATGACCTTGGAGGGCCGTATCCTGCCCTCAGGCTGGGTAAATGACCTTGGAGGGCCGTATCCTGCCCTCGGGCCGGGTAAATTACCTTGGAGGGCCGTATCCTGCCATCGGGCCGGGTAAATGACCTTGGAGGGCCATATCCCACCCTTCAGGCCGGGTAAATGGCCTTGGAGGGCTGTATCCTGCCTTCGGGCCGGGTAAATGACCTTGGAGGGCCGTATCCTGCCCTCGGGCCGGGTAAATGACCTTGGAGGGCCGTATCCTGCCCTCGGGCTGGGTAAATGACCTTGGAGGGCCGTATCCTGCCCTCGGGCCGGGTAAATGACCTTGGAGGGCCGTATCCTGCCCTCGGGCCGGGTAAATGACCTTGGAGGGCCGTATCCTGCCCTCGGGCTGGGTAAATGACCTTGGAGGGCCGTATCCTGCCCTCGGGCCGGGTAAATGACCTTGGAGGGCCGTATCCTGCCCTCGGGCTGGGTAAATGACCTTGGAGGGCTGTATCCTTCCCTCGGGCCGGGTAAATACCTTGGAGGGCCGTATCCTGCCTTGGGCCGGGTAAATGACCTTGGAGGGCTGTATCCTTCCCTCGGGCCGGGTAAATGACCTTGGAGGGCTGTATCCTGCGCTCGGGCCGGGTAAATGACCTTGGAGGGCTGTATCCTTCCCTCGGGCCGGGTTAAATACCTTGGAGGGCCGTATCCTGCCTTCGGGTCGGGTAAATGACCTTGGAAGGCCATATCCTGCTTTCGGGCAGGGTAAATGACCTTGGAGGGCTGTATCCTGCCCTCGGGCTGGGTAAATGACCTTGGAGGGCCATATCCTGCCTTCGGGCTAGGTAAATGACCTTGGAGGGCCGTATCCTGCCCCCAGGCCGGGTAAATGACCTTGGAGGGCCGTATCTTGCCTTCAGGCCGGGTAAATGGCCTTGGAGGGCTGTATCCTGCCTTCGGGCCGGGTAAATGACCTTGGAGGGCCGTATCCTGCCCTCGGGCCGGGTAAATGACCTTGGAGGGCTGTATCCAGCCCTTGGGCCGGGTAAATGACCTTGGAGGGCCATATCCTGCCTTCGGGCCGGGTAAATGACCTTGGAGGGCCGTATCCCGCCCTCGGGCCTTAGTTTGAGGACCCCTGATCTACAATAGCTGCTTTGCACTGGGTTATATGAGCCCACACTGCCATGTATTCCAATTCAATGTGGATTTTATACAGCTTTGTGGAAGGGATCTGAGTCTCGTTCATTTCAATGGATCTGTAGATGGGATGAAAATTGGATTTTATTTTCCTATATACTCATATTTTATGACTGGTAAGTATCACTGCCATGAAATGCGGCTCCTCATTTCAGACCTGAAGGTGTTGCTAGATCATACACAGTTCAAGATACATTCAGTGATGGCTTTGGGATTAAAACAAATCATTCTTCCAAGAGATTCGACACAACAGCTCAGCAAGGCATGGATGCTATGTCACTATCTCAGGGGTTTAATCCAAGCCATGGACACCTTTCCTTCTTTCTAGACTAGGCTTCCTTATCTCTCCTATATGATACACTTTAGTCCGCATGGCCTGACACACCACGCTCACCATCCACCATCACTCAAACTAGAACTAGCAAGAAGCACCATATCAGAATTCAACATGCTCTAGAGGGCTGAGCAGCAAAAGCAGAAGCAAATGGTGGAATTTGTGGAGACTCAGTGACCAGGGGTCAAGTACCCAAAATCCTTCAGTTAATAATTGGTTGCTTTGTTTTGTCTGGCTTATTGCATGATCAAAAAAATAAATAATTGTTAGCACCCTGGAAGAAAAAGCCCGGCTGCTTCAAGCCACACTTTGAGGTAATCTAAGGTGGGCTACACAAGCACTGTGCGTTCAACTGCTCTTGGCAGCTTGTTTACAACAGAACGGCGGTGGCTGCAACTCTTTGTGTATGTTTCTTTAAATAAAAGTGCCATCAAACAACAAAATAGTTGCTGTTGTCGTGAACAAATGACCATGGTTGTCTTTGAGATGAGTTCTCCTTCCGTTTCAGAAAGGGGCCCAGGAACGTTGCAGCTCTGACCGATGTAAACTGTGGAGAATGACAGAGAAAGAAAAAGGGGACAGAAAGTCCTGGGAAAAGACATTCCCACTCATGTCCCAACAGAGGAAGAGGTCCTGAGACTGGGAGCTGGCTTGACGGGCTCCATCATGTTGTCCTTTCTCCGTCCTGCCATGTCTTGAGCAAGAAGAGGAGGTTTTCTTTCTTTCTGTGATGCTGCTGCAGGATTGTTCAAGGCAGCACGGAGCCACGGGAACATTGGCCTGCTCTGCGGGTCCTCAGCGCTCCATCCTGCGATGGCCTGCCGAGGAGGAGGTAGAAGTCGTGGCACACCAGCTTTGGAAGTGCCGTTGTTGGAGCTGCCCTGAGGCTGGACAGCAGTCTTCACCTGACAGGCTGTGGAACCAGCATGGGTGGCTACTAGGCCACGGGCCACCTCTGCCTCTTTCAGAGCAGCACCCTTTAGCCTGTGCAGCTGACTCATGGCAGTTGGGTGGAACTGCAGCTGTGGTAAGGGGCTGGGAAGGACAGCACCCCCATGCGTCCCAGTCTCAGAAGCACCTTGGTCGCTGCTGGGAGGCTGACTGGTGGAGACTTTTTTGCTGCAAGATTCACAACAGAGTTTGTTATAGCCAGGGATGGAGCAGTAGCGGGCCAGGACTTCCATCTGGCAGAAGATGGACTTGTCTCCAAGGCAAGGCTCCTCTGTGAGAAGAAAACATACAAATAGATTTTATTAAGTGACTTGGGAGTCTCTTCCTGTCTGATAGGAGGCAAACTGCTGCCGAACCTACCTTACATAGGCGTGCAAGTTTATAAATGATCACATTACAATACCATATGTAGTGAAATTGCTACTCTATGTTAAAGTTTTGGTGTATAGCTCTGTTTACATATGGCAGATAGGGAAGAAATAGGCACAGAAAGGGTAGCAACAGCAGAGATAGGATTCATTTGCATATGTGAAGCCGATTGGTCATATGCAGATTAGTGTAGGCCCAGGATTTGAAAAGGCTGCTAGGCCAAAATGACAGTTGGGGAGAGCAGAGCTGAACATTCCAAAGGGGCGGAGCCAAGGTTCTGAAAGAGGCAGTTAGAGTGAGGGAGTTTGAAAATGACAGTTAGGAATCTGTGTGTGAAATGGAGAGTTGGTTTATTGAGTGCCGGATAGAAATAAGCAGTTATGAAGATGTGTTAAAGACTTCTGATATAGAGAAGCAGTTAGTTAAATAGAGCTCAATTTTTAAGGAATATAAAGAAGGCTAGTGTTGCCTTAGTTCAGAATATAATTCAGCCAAGAGTGTGTAAAGCAAGTAACATGTTTGTGAATGTGAAACATTGATAGTTTATTCAGAAAAGTTAACCAAGTAAATGATACTGACTGTAAGCCTCAAGATTGCAACAAAACACAAATGTAACTACAAGCGTTGGAGCCAGAAGTTATAAATAAACTGTGTTACTTTGTTATACACAAGAGTATTTCATTGCCTGTGATATAAAGTACAAAGGTTTAACAACACACAGAAAGTCCCAGCCAATATAAAAGAAGAAACCGAATCTGTGTAAGGCAGCAAAGAGGTTTTTAATGTGGAAATAGTCTCTCTCCCTCGCCCCACCATACCTCCCAAGATTTCAGAGATGAAAACTGAGTCAAACAACATCAAGTGAGGTCCAGATGGCAATAGGTCCTTAATGAGAAAGAATACACAAGCTAAGAGAGGCCACAGCAGTTTGCTTTTGTCTGACTCTTGGCCCTTCCAAACAGAACCCAAAATATGGGCCCTTTCAGACTTTAACTGGAGACATCTAAACAATGTGTCTGGTAAAAGGGAATTAATTTGGGACAAAGCAGGTAAACCTTGCTTTGTCCCGAAATTCTATTGTCAGTGGGGCTCAATAGGCTCTTTGATTGTAGGTGAACTATAAATCCCAACAACTACAACTCCCAAATGTCAAGGTCTACTTTCCCCAAACCCCACCACATTTGGGCATATTGAGTTTTCATGCCAGGTTCAGTCCAGATCAATCACTGTTTGAGTCAACAGTACTCTCTGGATGTTGGTGAACTTCAACTCCAAAACTCGAGGTCAATGCCCACCAAACCCTTTCAGTATTTTCTGTTGGTCATGGGAGTTCTGTGTCCAAATTTTGATCAATTCCATCATTGCTGGAGTTTAGAATGCTCTTTGATTGTAGGTGAACTATAAATCCAATCAACTACAACTCCCAAACGACAAAATCAATCCCCACCCTCCAACCCCACTAGTATTCAAATTTGGGCGTATCGGGTATTTGTGCCAAATTTGGTCCAGTGAATGAAAATACATCATGCATATCAGATATTTACATTATGATTCATAACATGAGCAAAATTACAGTTATGAAAGTAGCAATGAAAATAATGTATGGTTGGGGGTCACCACAACATGAGGAACTGTATTAAGGGGTCATGCCATGAGGAAAGTTGAGAACCACTGGTATAGACTCTTGATCCCTGGACTTTGTTTACTGAACTATTGGCGTTTGACCACTGGACTGGACTTTTTGACTATGGAGTTATCTTGAACCTGCAACAGTGTCTGCTGTTTTTGTTTTATATTCTATAGCTGAGTGTAATCTTTATATTTTATATTTTAGACTATTAAAACAGCCAGAAAGTAAGTGCTGTTTTAATTAAATTGTTTTATGCAAACTGGGTTTTTGTTTGGTTCATCTCTGCCTAAATATTGGCAGAACCCTGGCAACGTGACATATGTATATGCTAAGTACCTGACAGATTAATGCTCTGTCCCTCTTTAATGCTGTGTATTTGTGTGTAAAATAGAAAAACGTGTTCAAAACATATATAGAAAGTTTTAAAATAACATCTGCATCTGGTGTTTACAAGAGAGAAGGTGCATAAAAGCAAGTACTCAAAGGGCATTAGGCATATGGATTTGTCAGCAACCGTAGAATGTCATTATGGGAGCCTAAGGGCCCTTCCACACAGCTATATAACCCAGAATATCAAAGCAGATCTGCTTTGAACTGGGTTATCTGAGTCCACACTGCCATGTAGTCCAGTTCAATGTGAAACTTATACAGTTGTGTGGAAGGGGCCTAAATTGAGAAGAGAAAGAGAGGAACAGAAAAGGCTGAGATGGAAGTGTACAGACAACTGAAAGAAAGAAACTGGCAGGCAGGTGGACAAACAAGCTTACTAGGGGCTAAATTTAACTGCCAGTACCACTTGTGACAGTTGAATATAATCCAGAAATTAATTTAACATGGATATTCTATTTGGTCCTAGTAATTGCACTCAGGTTTAGGAATTTGTTTGGCAAAGACTGCATACAATAGTAAATAGTATACAATAGCAATTGCATATCCTGCAGATAAACCAAAGTGACGCTAGATGTCACCAGAATCCATTCCATTATGCATGACTATGATGAAAAAAAATCCCTTTTAAAATATTGTTGCTGCTTTTAAAAGACAAGGAAGGTTTTCAAGAACATGATACCTTCTGGGACACAATATTAATTTCAGAAAGAAGAGTAATAACAAAGATTTACAAAAAATTACTGGAATGGAATGTAGAACCAGATGGAGAAAAAATTATATGAGTCAGAAAATATAGGAAAAACAATTAAAAAAGAAAATTGGAAAGAAATATGAAAAACAAAAATCAAATATACACAAGCAACAGGCCTTAAAGAAAATTGGATTAAAGTCGCACACAGTCGCACACATGACACCCCAGAAACTTGGAATATGTTACAAAAATATAAACACTAAATGCTGGAAATGTGGAAAGATAGAAGGAACGTATTTCCACATGTGGTGGTCGTGCACTAAAGCTCGAACATATTGGAGAAAAATACATAAGAAACTACAGGAAATATTAAATATGAAAATCCTATTTGAACCGGAAGTATTTTTATTAGGAATAACAGACCAAAAAATGGAGGAAAATACAGACAAAATCCTCTTTCTGCTAAACACTGCAGCAAGAATATGCTCTGCAAAATTGTGGAAAAAAGAAGATATACCAGAAATTAGTGACTGGATTGAAAAAGTGATAGACATTAAAAATATGGACAGGTTAACATATCTAATAACAAAAAATAAAGGGACCCCAATAAAAGAGACTGACTGGACAAAAGTAATAAATTATTTGAAACAAAGAAATGGACATACAATAATATGAAGGGAAGAGAAAACAAGTGTGAAGAAAGACAGGAGGAGGTAGATCCAGCCACTGCTACATGGAAACAAAGTGATTTTGATGATGTATGGAGAAAATTTATTGAAAAAGGATTAAAAAATAAAGAAGGAAAGTTACCTCCACAAGAAGAATTGAAATTTTGGACAGATGATATGTAAAAACTGTGGCTTGGGAAGGGAGAGGGGAGCACAGCGGTGAAGGATAGATAATATGTATAAGCAGAAAAATAATACTAGATGCCAAAAGTATGGTAGATTGTATTGAATAATATGTATCTGCTGTAAAACAAACAATGTATAACCAATGTATTGAACCATGATAAAATAATAAAAAATATTTTTAAAAAGAAAAAAAATAGGAAAAAAGAAGTTTAATAGGCTTTTCCTTAATCCCTCCTTATTATCCAACATTTTCGCTTATCCAACGTTCTGCCTGCCCAATTGTGTTGGATAAGCGAGACTCTACTGTACTTCTAAAAACTGCTTTTCTTTAATAGTTTTAATTGAAAGCCAGCCTGCATAGCTGGCAACTCATGCAGATTATGCATTGTGGCCCATCAGAGGCCTCTTCTACCCTGCCATATAATCTAGATTATCAAAGCAGACAATCCACATTATCTGCTTTGAACTGGATTATATGAATCTACACTTCACTATAATACAAAGCAGATCATCTGGGTCTTATATGACAGTGTAGAAGGGGCCAGAGACTCAAAAAGGTCTGAAATCACAACTTTCCAGGTTCACGTTATCTTTATGGGTGAGAGCAAAGTTTTTTTCCCTTCTCAAATGTCTCAGTTCACTCCCCACTTAGTAAATACAGACAGTCAGCAGCATGACTGTACAACTTTACAAAATCCTGACAGTATTTCTAATATTTCACGAGACAGATCTTTCCTGAGCAGTGCCGGGTTTCATAAAGAAGACAGACAGAGAAACAGGTGATGAATCAAAACGTGAAGCTCAAATGAAGGAATGTGCTTACTTGATGATATCTTGCTGACAGGATTTTTGGCACTTTCCTGGGGCACCCATTGTACCTTTGGAGTCACATGATCCCCGGTATCTCCATTTGTACTTGATAGCTTTCCTGAAATGGTAGGGGAAAGTAGGTCAAACAGTCTGATACATGACAATGAGACAAATCACTGGAGGGCAAATGTGGCCCAGTCCCATAATGCTGCTGGATTTTTTATTAAATGTGCAGTTTGGCCTCTTAAGTTTAACAGCTTTACTGTTGAAAAATTTTACATCAATGCAACCCCCTTCGAGGTGCCTCCATATCAAAGGAATCAATGCCCAACGGTCAGTCATCCCAGGACCAGAGTGTTTTGTCACTCTTTAATCTCAAAGCATGGTTAGATACAGTTGTCACCTCTACAATCCAGACCAATTATCTTGAGTAGCCCAGGTTTGTCCTTCTCCCCACTCTTTCCTTTTGTAGTCCACAGAGCACCATGAGGTGGTCAGAAGCTTCAATTCCTCGTATTTCTCACATTTCTTCATTTTAAAAAAAAGATACACAGTGACCTCTACAATCCAGACCAACTATCCTGAGTAGCCCAGGTTTGTCCTTCTCCCCACCCTTTCCTTTTATAGTCTATGAAGCCCCAAACTGCACCCTTTCACTATTTGGAGCCATGGAGAAGAAGAACTCAACAGGTTCCTGGAACATCTGAACAGCATCCACCCAAACATCCAATTCACCATGAAAAAAGAAAATGAAGGAAGACTGCCTTTTCTAGATGTCCTGGTCATCCGCAAACCAGATCAACAATTGGGTCACACCGTTTACAGAAAACCCACACACACAGATAGATATCTACATAAAAACTCCAACCATCACCCAAGTCAAAAAAGAAGCACCATTAAAGCTTTGGCAGACCGTGCAAAAAGAATCTGCGAACCCCACCTCCTCCAAGATGAACTGAATCACCTCAACTGGGCTCTCCAGGCCAATGGATACTCCACCTCAGACATCAGAAGAGCTGCAAGACCAAGAACAAGCCACGAGAGTAAAGATGAAGATCCACCCAGAGGAAAAGTGTTCTTGCCATACATCAAGGGAACCACTGACCCACCAAGAAAATCCAACAAATGCTACGTTTAGCAAAAGGACAAGAGAGATCCTCTCACCTCTGCAGGAGTCTACCGTATTCCATACAGCTGTGGACAAGTCTACATAGGGACCACCAAACGCAGCGGCCCAAATACGAATCAAGGAACATGAAAGGCACTGCAGACTACTTCAACCAGAGAAGTCAGCCATAGCAGAGCACCTGATGAACCAACCTGGACACAGCATATTATTTGAGAACACAGAAATGCTGGACCACTCTCACAACCACCATGTCAGACTACACAGAGAAGCCACTGAAATCCACAAGCATGTGGACAATTTCAACAGAAAGGAGGAAACCATGAAAATGAACAAAATCTGGCTACCAGTATTAAAAAACTCTAAAATTACAACAGCAAAACAACAGAGAGGAAACAATCAGGTACATCTAATCACCTCTCAACAAAAGATTGCCCCTCTGGCACTTTCAAGCCATTAAATGCTAATCAAGGTGGTCAGTTGAAACATTCACACCTAGCTCCAGCAGACAAAAGTCCTTTGTCCCACCCTGGTCATTCCACAGATATATAAACCCATTTTCCTACTTCCAACAGACCTCACTACCTCTGAGGATGCTTGCCATAGATGTAGGCGAAACGTCAGGAGAAAATGCCTCCAGAACATGGCCATATAGCCCGGAAAAACCTACAACAACCCAGTACACCCTAGGAGTTGCATCCCCATCTTCTGATTCTGGCATTGTCTCTGCTCATAACTCTTCATCTTGAACACACAAAGGATCTGGGCAATGATAGTTGAGGCCAAATTGCCCGTCACTGGAGAATTGGGTAGATGGAACAGCCTACCCATTATCCCATTGCGGATGAGAACGTCAGGAATGGTTGGGTTTGATTAACCCAAGTTCAGCATGGTTCATGCTGAAATCCTTTTTCTATGACAGGTTGTCCAAATGTTTTGGTTTCCCTGGACCACATTAAAAGAAGAATCATCATCTTGGGTCACACATAAAATACATGAACTTTAATGATAACTGATGAGCAAAAAATAATTTTCGTGATTAGCAAAAAAAAAAAAAAGCAATTACATAGTAATCGTAATTTATTTATTATTTTTTTATTTAAAGTATTTATATTTATGTAATTATATTGAGGTTTCAAATTGTGGCCGGTTAGTAAGCTGTCCTGAGTCCCTTCTTCCTGGCCTCGCGAGAAGTGCCTCTTTGCCCGGTTAGGAAGAAGGAGAGCAGCCTGAGCAGCGCCAGAGGCCCTTCTGGAGGTGGTGCAGGAAACAGCCCAGAGGCCCGAGGACAGAAACCACCCAGCTGGTTTGGGGAGTCATCTTAAATGGCGAGTATATCCCCAACTCTCTATTTTGCATGTAAAAGTTGGGGGGTCGTCTTATAGCCCCAGTCGTTTAGTACCCCGGAGTATATGGTATATAGATGGTTATACAATTCCTTCTACAATGCCAGCTTCTCACCTGGGCATGTGATTGTTTTGCAAACCTGGATGGTCTCTGGCTTGTTGCTCTCACAATGTCCAATGCTGTTGTCACTGGATTTACAGACTACCTGACGCTGCTGGATGCCTTCTCCACAGCTGACAGAGCACTGCCACCAAGGAAGAAGAGGGAGAAAATAAGAAAAAAGATTAGTTAGGGTTGAGGAAGTTGATGCTAATAAAAAGTAATCCATGTGGGGTCATATGAAATAAGACAACCCATCCTGCAAGGAGGATCCATGAAAGTACATGTATTTGCAGCCCAATAGACAGTTGCATCTGTCAAGTAGGAAATTTAGGTACTGCTTATGTGGGGAGGCTAATTTAGGACATCATAAAAATCTCCAGCAAGCATGCAAAGAATGAGGAAATACTTCATCAGTGTCACAAATGGACAGTGAAGCGACAGCTTCCCTGGTGGCCAGAATACCCTCATGAAAAAGCTGGAATGTTAAATAGCCTCTGTGTGTTTGTCTATATATATTGTGTGACTATGGCATTGAATGTTTGCCATGTAGATGTACATTGTATTCCGCCCTGAGTCCCCTGGGGGGTGAGAAGGGTGGAATATAAATACTGTAAATAAATAATAAATAAATTCTTATGAAAGCCTATTTGAGACCAGAGCTAGCTAGACCAGTCAAAATCTAATCTAAAATGGTTCAGGAGCACCAATTTTATGGATATGAAGGATATTTCAATTGTTATATGTTGTATGGAACCACTGCTGTTTCTACTGTTTTTACTGTTTGTGAACCGCCGTGAGTCGCCTTCGGGCTTGAGATACAGCGGTATATAAGCAAAGTAAATAAATAAATAAATAAATAAATTTCACAAGCAGTTCAAAAGGCCAGATTTAAATCACAAGTCATTTGTTAGTAGACAGCACATTAATCCTTCCAATACCATTCTCACATCAAAGTTCCCCTATAACACTAGTGTGTTGGCTCTATCTCTGGTTTTATCACTTTGGTCTTGCTTTTAAATCTGTCCAAGTAAGAGTGGAAAAAATATTTATTCATTTCTATATATATCCTGTCTAGATTTTAAACCATAGCATTTCCAAAGAATATCAAACAATACAACTTGTATTAATGCCATATATGGTCTGAACATTATTTAACTAAAGTTTTCCTCTGCAGCAAATGTTGTTAGATTACTTTGATTTGCTTTAGGGCATATGTTTGAGCTATTGAGATGAAATGGTGGCTAGAAAAAAGGAGTACAAATGTTCATTTATTTTATTACTTTCTGTAAAGTTTAAAAAAATTAAGAGTGGCCAATATGAAAAACATCTGCTTGGTAATGCCATCTTACCTGAGACCAGGCACCTGTCCTCCACTGGGCAGGGCAAGGGATGCGACTGCAAGGCCGACGGGTGTCCGGTTTATCTCCCATGCAGTACTTGGTGTGCACTGTCCGGTTTGTGCCATTGTGTAAATGCTGGATGCACTGCACCACTCTGACCTGGACTCCCAGCTTGCCACAGGACTTGCTGCAGGTTCCCCATTCTTCTGCTCCCCAGCTGCCCAAACAATAGAAGACAACTGCATTGGCAAGAGGAAGAGAGTCACTGGACTCACTGCTTGTTTGTCAATGTGTGCCTGCAAGTCTTAGGGTAATCTTAGGGCAAACCTATTATTGGGGGGGGGGGGGTTGCAGAATTTGTTCAAAGGTGGTTTGACATAATTGCTTTTCTATGATGCTGAAAGAGTGTGGCTTGTCCAAAGTCACCCACTGAATTTCCATGTTGTTGTTGTTCATTCGTTCAGTCGTCTCCGACTCTTCATGACCTCATGGACCAGTCCACGCCAGAGCTCCCTGTCGGCCGTCACCACCCCCAGCTCCTTCAAGGTCAGTCCAGTCACTTCAAGGATGCCATCCATCCATCTTGCCCTTGGTCGGCCCCTCTTCCTTTTTCCTTCCATTTCATCCAGCATCATTGTCTTCTCTAAGCTTTCCTGTCTCCTCATGATGTGGCCAAAGTAGTTCATCTTTGCCTCTACTATCCTTCCCTCCAGTGAGCAGTCGGGCTTTATTTCCTGAAGTGGACTGGTTGGATCTTCTCGCAGTCCAAGGCACTCTCAGCACTTTCCTCCAACACCACAGTTCAAAAGCATCTATCTTCCTTCGCTCAGCCTTCCTTATGGTCCAGCTCTCACATCCGTAGGTTACTACAGGGAATACCATGGCTTTGACTAGGCGGATCTTTGTTGCCAGTGTGATGTCTCTACTCTTTACTATTTTATCGAGACTGGACATTGCTCTCCTCCCAAGAAGTAAGCGTCTTCTGATTTCCTGGCCACAGTCTGCATCTGCAGTGATCTTTGCACCTAGAATTTCCATAGCTGTATGAAATTCAAAAACTGTTATAAAGAAATGTCGGTATACGAGGGACCTTTACCACTGGCGGGGGGGGGGATATCAGATCCCACTGCCACCAATATAACGAAAACTGGTCAGCGATCCTCCTGATGATGGTGTGACTACTATGAGTGTGCTGCTTTAAATCACACCGCTGAACACCACTATAACGAAATCAGGATCCTGGGGATAAATATTTCACTAATATACCCCCTAGCACATACACACGTTCCTTTAGCTGTTATATAGCCCAAGCTGGCCACCACTTTGAAGGATCAGTGTACAGGACTATGATCACTAAGGCTCCAACTGGACATCAACACAATCCTGTAACAAAGCGCTTTTATGTGTGTTGAGGAAACGTGAATGTTTATTGGTAGAGTTGCTGCCACCACTCAAATGGATTTGAGAAATTATCTTGATGTTATGCCTGAAGTAAATCTTGTTGTTCACCAGCCCTCCCTTTAACTCCCTTTAAAATGTCTGAGGTAAAAAGATGTTAAAAATTACTGGAACAGATCTTGTGGAATGAATCAATGCTGAGGCTCTTTTGAACGTTGAAATAGAGAAAAGGTTATTTATATACTGGAACAAACAACTGACTTCTATGAGGTACACAAGCGTATTTGGATATCAAAGCACAATCTTCTTAAATGGTTTCACGGTCTTAACAAGCTTGATGGTTTCCTTAGCTGGGTTTCCTTTCTTGACGTGAGCAAGTTCCCTCACTCTACCTTAAACCTAGTAGCAGTGAGTCCCTCTGACAAACCAATCCTGGCTGTCCCCAGAGTATCTAGCTTCCCTAGACTACCCTGTCCCCTAGAGAGTAAAAACAACTTGTGTTCTAACACTAACACAAATCCAGGCCAATCACTATAGACACACCTGCCTCAAAACACTCTCTCTCAGGAAAACTTGAGCTCACTAGAAATCCACCCGCTTCCCTTCAGATCAAAAATCCTCTCTCCCTCTGTCAGAAGCTGCCTGCACTTTTACACTCACAGTTCCAGCTCCTCCCATCTGTCCTAGCCAATCCTGGAATAGCTGAGCTCCTCCTCTCTGCTAATCTGACTCTCCTAAGATGTCTGCCTCGCTGTACTACCTTCCTAACATGGAGGCCAGCTTACTGACTTCTAGGCTTTGGACCACAAAGGTACGGATCATGACACTTGGTTTCCTAGAATTCTAACAAAACACTCAAAACCGTTATATCACACTGTCTGACCTCATTTTGGAAAGAAGGAAGAAGAAAAGAAATGTGCATATGTGTGTGTGTGTGTATAAATGTAATGTTCGTTTGTGGGATTAACATAACTCAAAAACCACTAGACAAATTGACACCAAATTTGGACAGCATACACCTAGCAACCCAATGAGTGATCATCACTCAACCCCCCCCCCAAAAAAAAAAAACAGTAAAAGGGACATGATTTTTTTAAAAGGTACCATTGGCCATGTCCCCTCCTACATGAGAGGGAAAAACCAATGGCTGCAGGGAGTGTTGAATGCTCCAGTGGGCTGGGAAGACAGATCCTCGACTTCCCCAGGCTCCCAATTTTGTGTCTCCCCCCTCACTCCACCACCTGCTACCCCCACGGGGAACCTTCCTTCCTTCCTTCCTTCCTTCCTTCCTTTTGGGCCTACCCTTCCCAATGCCAGGGCCTCACGTGGGCCCTCCTTACCTCCCTCCCTGTTCCATCCCCTCTTTGTCAACCCCACCAAACACAGGCCCACCTCCTTCTTTTCCCCTGGTGAGGCGGGCGGGCAGCTGCTCCATGCGGGCTCTGTTCACCAGACTTAGCCTTCTCTTCTCTTGTCAAGGCGCTGACAGGAAGGGAGCTTTGCAGCCCTCTGCCTTGCTGGGCCCGGCAGAGGTGGGAGGCATTTTTCAAGGTGGGCCTTGCTCACCCACGTTGGCCCCTTCTTTCTGCCGCAGCCGCAGGGCACTTTTCATGTGACCCCGCCTGTGTATCCCCTCACCTGAATTGCATCCAAGATCCCTTCCATAAAGCTGTAGAAAATCCACATTGAACTGGATTATATGGAAATGTGGACTCTAGGGCTGGGCGGTTTCGTTCGTTAATTTCGTAATTCGTTATTGATTCGTATTTAAATTAGCTTACGATCCGATATTGAACCATTCAGGAGCAACTAAAAATCGAAACAAATTTTTCAATTCATTTCGTAATTGTTTCGTAATTGTTTCGAAATCGTTTCGAAATCGTTTCGAAATTGTTTCGTTATTATTTCCGTATGTCTGGTGCAAGTTTTATAGTTGTTGTTTGTTTTATCAGTGATAAAAAAATAAATTATCACACCAACAGTCAACAACAGAGGGAGAGGGAAGCTTCAGAAGTTCCCCCTGTCCCATTTGGAGGTTTTTTAGTATATTGTGCAATCGCGTCCGCCATTAACGAATCGATTCGTAATTTTACGAAATTTCGTAAATTTCGAAATTTTTTAAATTCGAACTTTTTTAAAAAAAATTTTGGAATTATTTTAAAATAACAAAACGCAACCCCCCCCAAAAAACGAATCGATTTAGAAACAAATTTTTCCGTGGTTGCCCAGCCCTAGTGGACTCAGTGATCCAGCTCAAAACAGATATTGTGAATTATCTGCCTTGATATTCTATGGCTGTGTGGAAGGGCCCTGAGATTCACTGAAAGACTCCCATCCAAGTACTAATCAGACTGACCCATACCAATTATTTCAAAAAGAGCTGGTGGGTGCTGTTAGAAAGGAAGAAGCACTCACATTGGTTGAGAGCATTCTTGCATGTTACACCTCCTGCGGATTGGCTTGGGTTTCTTTCCATTATCACAGAAATTCCGATGTACCATTCGATTATCACTCTTCCTGCGGCAGCCGTATTTTGTGTACTGTATTCCTGCAAAGCAAAAACCAATACTGTAAGAGTATCGCACAGGCTTCTCTAGATACAAGATGGCTCTCTTTATAAAGCTGTGTAGCTGGTCTAATGGACCTAGAAAATGGCCCAGAAGTGACTAGAGTAGTTTTACTTCTGAAATGAAGCAGTTTATTTATTATTTATTTCCTATATTTTTACCCCGCCCTTCTCACCCCCAAGGGGGGACTCAGGGTGGCCTCACAAAAGCATCATAGGATGCCGACATCATAAAAACAATCAACAATCAGCAATACATTAAAATATTAAAAACAGTAATTAAACAATTGATTAAAAACACGCCTGTTAAAATCAGAATCCAAAATCCAGAGTCCAAGGTCCAGTCTGGGTCAATTCATTGTCTTAAAACTTCTTTTACTTGCTGTTATTACTGATCGAACGCTTGGTCCCATAGCCAGGTCTTAAGTTTCCTTCTGAAAGACAGGAGGGAGGTGGCCAATCTGATGTCCCTGAGGAGGGAGTTCCACAGACAGGGGGCCACTGCAGTGAAGACCCTGTCCCTCATCCCCACCAGTCATGTTTGCAATGATAGTGGGATCGAGAGCAGGGCCTCTCCAGATGATCTTAAATTTCGTGATGGTTTATAACAGGAGATACGTTCACAAGCCTGGAGCAGGTAGTGGGGGGTATATTTCATTCAATCTGAATGTGGATTATCTGCTTTGAACTGGATTATGTTTATTTCACCTCTCAACAAAAGATTGTCAGGCACTAACAAGCCACACCAAACAACTGCCAAGCCATCAAATGCTAATCAAGGTGGTCAGTTGAAACATTCACACCTAGCTCCAACAGACAAGAGTTCTTTCTCCCACCCTGGACATTCCACAGATATATAAACCCATTTTCCTAGTTCCAACAGACCTCACTACATCTGAGGATGCTTGCCATAGGTTCAGCAGAGGACAAGAGGGATCCTCTCACCTCTGCAGGAGTCTACCGTGTACCATGCAGCTGTGGACAAGCCTACATAGGGACCACCAAACGCAGCATTGCCCAAACACGAATCAAGGAACATGAAAGGCACTGCAGATGACTTCAACCAGAGAAGTCAGCCATAGCAGAGCACCTGATGAACCAACCTGGACACAGCATATTATTCGAGAACACAGAAATGCTGGACCACTCTAACAACCACCATGTCAGACTACACAGAGAAGCCATTGAAATCCACAAGCATGTGGACAATTTCAACAGAAAGGAGGAAACATGAAAATGAACAAAATCTGGCTACCAGTATTAAAAAAAAACTCTAAAATTACAACAGCAAAACAGCAGAAAAAAAATCAGGGACATCTAATCACCTCTCAACAAAAGATTGCCCCAGGCACTGCCAGGCCATCAAATGCTAATCAAGGTGGTCAGTTGAAACATTCACACCTAGCTCCAGACAGACAAGAGTTCTTTGTCCCACCCTGGTCATTCCACAGATATATAAACCCATTTTCCTAGTTCCAACAGACCTCACTACCTCTGAGGATGCTTGCCATAGATGCAGGCAAAACGTCAGGAGAGAATGTCTCTAGAACATGGCCATATAGCCCAAAAAAACCTACAACAACCCAATGATTCCCGCCATGAAAGCCTTCGACAATGCATATGTTTATTTTTATTTATTTATTTATTTATTTATTTACTATATTTGTTCCCTGTTCTTCTCAACCCAAAGGGGACTCATTATATGAGTCTACACTGCCATATAATCCAATACATATCAGATAATCTGGACTTTATATGGCAAGGGAAGTGTGACCCATCAACCTCATGTAACTCCAGTTCACAAGACTCTATGGCCACATGTGCCCTACCATATAATACAGTTTGAAACTGCAATATATGGCAGTGTAGATGGGGCTTATATATATGGAGAACCTCTCCCTATGCCATTCCTTGGAGCAGAAAAAGTTAAACATCAAAAGGGATTTTCCTTTTTCCAGAGGGCCCCAAGATAACATTGGAGTAAAACAACTTATTTCTTATTTCAGCATTAATGGTAGTGTCTAGGGGCCCTTCCACACAGTCATATAACTCAGAATAGCAAGGCAAAAAAAATCCCACAATATCTGCTTTGAACTGGGTTATCTGAATCCATACTACCATATATTCCAGTTCAAATCAGATAATGTAGGATTTTATTCAACTGTGTGAAAGGGACCTAGGACATTAGAATCGACAACTACAAAACTGCAGTAAATCTATAGCTTAATAGTTAACTAACTATGAGGGTTGAATGAAAAGTAATGCCTCCACCTTCGTAACTCCTCAACAGATGGCAGTACTGGTATGCGGCAGGTAGTGGCTTGTTCAGTAGACTCTCCTCTACAGTTCCATTTGGCGGGAAGCCTTAGTATTGAACGGTTGTGTTGTTAAAATGTGAAATATGGAACCATGCGCAGACGGTTGGTCAATGTGACTTAAGCAACATGCAGTCATTGAATTCTTGACAGCAGAAGATGTCACCCCCAAAGGAGATTCATCAGAGAATGCAAGCTGTTTATGGTGATTGTGCTGATGTGAGTACTGTGCGTCGCTGGATGAGTAAGTTTAAAGATGTTGTAATAAGAAATTCAATGTGCAAATTTGATAAATGTGAATTCAATATGATGTCTGGGAATGAATGAATGGAAGGATGGATGGATGTATTTTGGAAACGCCAGTATAATATTAAGGCCTGCAATGACTAATACCTGCTTGCTGGACTTGCTAATGAGAAACCCTGATAAGAACAGGACAGTGATAAAGGAAATGCTTGCAACCTTCCTTATGTTAAGAAGGAAGGCAACACAAGCCTTGTGTTTGTTGACACCAATCAAAAAGATCAACACTGAGATGGATCCAGGATGGAAGACGTCTATCATTAATTTACAACTTTGGGACTACATCAACAGAATATTCCTATAAAAGATTCAGTCTAATAATGCTCAAAGTGTGGCAGACCTGAGGAGTATGTTCCACCCACCATGCTCTGCTCTATGGGAAGGAGAGAGATGGTGTATTCAGAGAGTGGCAGATTTGCACGGGAGCAGTCTGGTCACTTTGGCCTTCTTTCTCAAGGGAAGAGGAAGAAGTGCACTTTCGGAGTCTTAGATTTTGTGCAAGGAGTCAGGTTCTGCTGTATGGAAAACAGAGATCTGGTCCTTGGCAATGTACTTAGGGAAAGAATGCATTTTGACGTTTTGAAGTTATGGCGTTATGGAAGATTTGGGACTATGCGTTCAGCAGGCTGCAGGAAAGCAGGGTCTGGCCTAACAGGTGCTTCTCCAAGGAGGGAGAAAATAATATGGTAATATTTTGGATGCATGTGGATGAATGCATGTACATATGGTGTGAATGTGGAGTGAAAATGTAATTCCCCTTTGTTTGTTTGTTAACCAGTGCAATTGTCATCCAATGTAGTTGCATAGAATCTATGTCTGTAGGTCCAATGTCATTCCTTGTCTAAATGTTTTCTGTAATCTGATATACCGTCTCACACTAGAAACTGCAATAAAAAGAACCTATGCTTCATGTTATTGAAAAGTCATTCATGACAATGTTGAGGTGGGAACATCTGACTTGCGTGACAAACAAAGAGTTGGACGTCCTGTGACAGCAACCACCAAGTTTCACAAGCAAAAGGTTGACAGATTGATTCAGGATGATCGTCGTATCATTCAGAGAGAAATTTCAAGCATAATCGGCATTTCACAAGAATGTGTGGGTCACATTACTGCTTTGCTTAGTAGGCTTGGTTGATCAAGAAAAAAATGGTTCAGGAAAAAGCTAAAAACCTGGATGTGGGATCAGGCTTTCGGGTAAGCTGGCAGATGGACAAAGACAACCAACAATGACCAAAGTAGGAAAGGACAATGACAATGCTAAATGGTTTACGGACTGGATTTGGTGAACACTGACCACAAGATGTTTTACTGCTGTTAGTATATTGTTGATTGTTTAATTAGTGATAACTGTGATTTTATATGGTAAATTTGTGTACTGTATACTCCATTGTATGTTGTAATTGTTAGGCATCGAATTGTGCCTTTTGTAAGCCGCCCTTAGTCCCCCCTAGGGGGTTGAGAAGGGCGGGGTATAAGCACCCCAAATAAATAAATAAATAAAATAAACTCGTTTCGTATATAGGGGGCAAGGCATATTTGAGTGGGACTTTCGTGCATTGTGTGCTGTGTCATGCAGAAGGGAGAGGTGGGCGTGGTCAAGCACAGCGCTCCTCGGAAGTCGCTGGGGGGGAGGCCTCCAAGGAGGGCTGTGCTTGGCCACACCCACCTCCTTCCTCTTTGCATCGTCGGCTTTGCGAGGTGGGCTTTGCGAGTGGGCGTGGCTATGCCCAGCTCTTCCTCATCGCCGCTTGTCGCCAGGAAGGTAGCCACGCCCACTGCGCAAAGCCCACCTCGCAAAGCCGCCGATGCAAAGAGGAAGGAGGTGGGCGTGGGTAAGAACAGCTATTCCTGAAGGCCATGCCCCCAGCATTTACGATTCACTGGCGGAGTCGTAAGGAAGATGGCGGACGCGGTTTCGAAATGGCAAGATCACTTCCAGGTTCCCAAATCATATTGATGCCGCTTCTAAAGGTATTTATTTAATGAATTAATAACGAGTTAAGAAATTAACGAACTGGATCAACCAAGTCTATTGCTTAGCTATCGGAAGAACTGTGAGGCGCTGGATGCGCAAACAGAGTGTTGACTTCTTCCGTGACGGCTTGAGAAAACTTGTTCATCATTGGCAGAAAAGTATCCAATTTTCTAGTGATTATGTGGAAAAGTGAATAGTGGTAGTTAAAGAGCACATTCTAAGGATTATTTCTGCATTTGATTTATTAAAATATTCCCATCCAAACCCAAGTAACGAGGGTGGAGGCATTACTTTTCATTCAACCCTCGTATTTTAAAAGTCCTAAGCAAAATACTCCCATGTCAGGTGTGGCATCAGGGGAACTTTCAAAGCATCAGGAATGGGACCATGTTTTACATTTGTTAATGATGACTATGGTGGGATAACTTTTTTTGTCTTGTCAGAGAGAAAATATAAAGCAGTCATGTTTATAAGGTGATAGGATACTTTTAAGATAAAATGAGTGCACACTTTAGATGCATTTGTGGTTCTTCGTGGTGACCATTTTGAGAGCAAGTTAAATAATAAATATTGAGCGAATTAGTGCAAGCATATGTCTAGCGCAGTTTAAATAAACAAAGCAGCTTTTGAAAAGCCAAGTCAGAACTTGCTGACCCAAGTCTGCGTTGTTGTAGCAATGTAAGCTCTATTTCCAGGGATATGCCCTGGTGACAGCTGATTAAATCCACAGCTTACATTCCAGATTGTGTCCACGACTGGATTGTGTTTGCTGGAAAGGAATGTGACTCATTAAAGTGGTACTCTCTCCTTGCCCACCCCATTGTTTCTCTGAGCAGGCATTGTGTTAGGAACTGGCGCTTGGAGAAGTTACTTTCTTGAGCTACAATTTTCAGAATCTCCTAGTAATTATACCCACATTTTTTCTCAAGCTTAACTAGGAATTGTACTCCAGCTTTAGAATGGTTCTGATAACGGCAGAGATTGGATTGTTTTCTTGTGTATGAATTTTGTTCACAGTGATCGCTCTAGCAGGCTTTTTTAAAGTGAAACACTATAAGTAAATCAGCTTTGCTAGATATAGGTTTTTCCCTAGAAACAAATTTATTTATTTATTTATTTATTATTCAATCTTATATGCCGCCACTCACCTGGGGCTCGGAGCAGCTTACAAGAACAGGCTAAAATCTAACACAATTTAAAAACAATTTGAAACAATTTAAAAACAGCAATATCAAAGATCAAAGGCCTGTCGAAACAGGTATGTCTTACATGCCCTGCGGAAAGCTGATAAATCCCGCAAGGCACGGACTTCAGGTGGCAGAGTATTCCAGACTGATGGTGCTACTGATGTAAAGGCTCTGCGTCCAGTTGCTGTTAGACGCAAGGTCTTGACATTGGGAATTTCCAACAAATCTTGGTCCTCAGAACAGAGGGATCTCTGGGGTTGGTAGGGGGAGAGGTGGTCCCTAAGGTACATCGGCCCCAGACCATGCAAGGCCTTAAAGGTGAGTACCATCACTTTGAAAGTGATCCGGTGCTCAATTGGTAACCAATGCAGCTGTAGTAAGATTGGTGTTATGTGGCATCTCATCGGAATTCCCGCAATAAGCCGAGCAGCTGCATTTTGTACCAACTTGAGCTTTCAGATCACCGACAGAGGAAGGCCAATGTAGAGGGCGTTACAGTAGTCCAGTCTTGAGATTACCGTAGCCTGGATCACCATAGCTAGGTCATCCCTGGACAGGTAGGGGGCCAGCCGTCTAGCCTGCCGCAGGTGAAAAAAGGCGGTTCTGCTAACGGCGGAGACCTGGGCCTCCATCGTCAGCAGGGGGTCCAAAAGGACTCCCAGACTCTTTACCAATGATGACAGGCGTAGCGCCTCACCATCCAGGGTAGGCAGCTGGGTATCCCCACTGCCCGGTTGACCCAGCCATAGGATCTCCGTCTTTGCTGGATTCACCTTCAACCTGCTGGCACGCAGCCGTCCAGTAACGTCCTCTAGGCACTGATGGAAATAATTGGGTACAGAGTCTGGTCGGCCTTCCATCTTCAGTACAAGCTGAGTATCATCAATGTACTGGTAACACTCAAGCCCAAAACCTCAAACTAGCTGAGCAAGTGGTCGCATATAAATGTTAAACAACAGAGGGGAGAGAATTCTAACGGAAACGATCCTGGATGCTACATTATTTGTGTAAGAAAGGGTTGCATGCTGGAGCTTTCTGCAGACATTACCACATTAGGAAATACTCTGTTTCTGAGACTGTTTGAGAATGATTTCGAGCAGGTCTCATCACATGACATTTGCCCCATCCCATCAGTATTCTGTCGGAATCCACCAGCTAACTAACCACTACAAGTTACAACGAAACTACATCAAGTGTAAATGGTTCTGGTACAGAGTACATCTATTGCTATGAATCATTATGGAGTTTAAGATCATCTGGAGAGGCCCTGCTCTCGATCCCACCGCCGTCGCAAATGCGACTGGTGGAGACAAGAGACAGGGCCTTCTCAACAGTGGCTCCCCGTCTGTGGAATTCCCTTCCCAAGACATCAGATTGGCTACCTCCCTCCATGGGGTCGTCTACGGACAACGCTGGCTCTTTGGCTTAGAAATGGAGATGAGCACCACCCCCAAGAATCTGACATGACTAGACTTAATGTCAAGGGGAAATCTTTACTTTTACCCTATGGTACAGAATTCAGAAAGTTATGTACGCATCTCCTCATATGAACCAGTTAGAGTGTTAAGATCATCTGGGGAGGCCCTGCTCTTGGTCCCGCCTGCGTCACAAGTACGTTTGGCGGAGACAAGAGACAGGGCCTTCTCAGTGGTGGCTCCTCGGCTGTGGAACACCCTTCCTACAGATATTAGATTGGCCCCCTCCCTATTGACATTTTGGAGGAAAGTGGAGACCTGGTTGTTCGAGCAGGCATTTGAATAGGCAGTATAACGAACATAGGAATATGGAACAATTGGATTTTGATCGTAACTATGAGATGCGAATGAGATATTTTATTGATTTATATTAACTGTATGCTACTGTTTTAATTGTTTTTAACTGTTTTGCGATGTTTTTGGGCATTTAATTTTGCTATTGTTAACTGCGCTGAGTTGCTCAAGGGCTGAGAAGAGCGGTATACAAATATAGCAAATAAATATAAATAAATAGGCAGTGTAACGAACATAGGAATATGGAACAATTGGATGATGAGACTGGATTTCGATCTTAACTATGAGACGCGAATGAGATGTTTTATTGATTTATATTAACTGTATGCTACTGTTTTAATTGTTTTTAGCTGTTTTATGATGTTTTTGAGCATTGAATTTTGCTATTGTTAACCGCTCTGAGTCGCCCAAGGGCTGAGAAGAGCGGTATACAAATATAGTAAATAAATATAAATAAATAAATGTAATCCAAAGCAAAAAGTGCTTCTAAATTATATTTTAGCTGTAAAAACACTAAAGAGATTAATTTAATTTTGATAATCAGGATGATATGACCATGTCAAAGGGCCCTAAGGGATGTTTCACACATTCATAGACGGTATAAGAGGGGGAATCAAGTGATGACTTCCAATTATGTTTTAACTGCACTTGGATAAACTCTCCTCTTTGCGTCACTGCAAAAACGCTGATTCTCAAGAGAGTCACTTCACACCTTCACCTGTGTGATCAAAGACAATGTGCATACATTGGTGAGCCAATGTGATGCATACTCCGCTCATTCCACCTGCTGAGAATGCATCCAGAAACGTGAATATTATGTGAAATAGGAATAAGAATATACCTCCTCCACAAGCTTTGGAGCACTGAGACCAGCTCTTAAGGGCCCACTCATAAGTGTCCATTTCTTCAAGCAGGACGTTGTTGTTTCCAATGACAGGAAGGAGATCTTCATGGATGATGTACTTATACATCAAGCTGCTCTTGGAATCATCATCTTGTGGAATAACCTGGAATCAAAGGAAAGGAGAGGAACTGTCGATTTGTTACACAAATCTGCAGGAATGTGTGAATGTGCTCACAGCCATTGCTCTGTACAGATGTCTAAAACTGAACTTCTGCAACCCTTTGCTTAGCTGTATAAAATCCACATTGAACTGGATTATATGGCAGTGTGGACTCAGATAATCCAATTCAATGCAGATATTATTTAATTACTTACTTACTTACTGTATTTGTATACCGCCTTTCTCGGCCTGTCGGCAACTCAAGGCCGTTTACAACAAATCAGTATACATAATATCATAATACAAATTAAAACATTAAAGCGATATAAAACCACAACAGAAGCAATAAAAACCAACATCATTAGCGTCTCCTTATTAAAAAAAAATACATTGTCCAATTCCATCGTCTAGTCATTCGGTTTCCTATTTCAGTTACTCTGCATTTGTAAACGCTTGCACAAACAACCATGTTTTAACTTTTCTCTGAAACGTTAAGAGGGAGGGAGCCGATCTGATCTCCCTAGGGAGGGTGTTCCATAGCCGAGGGGCCACCACTGAGAAGGCCCTGTCTCTCATCCCCGCCAACTGTACTTGTGATGAAAGCGGGATCAAGAGCAGGGCCTCTCGATGATCTTAAAGTCCTTTGTTTCTCTCATTCAGCCTCAGTTTTCTCATTTATAAAACAAAAGCCGTTATGCCAACACTCATAATTAGTGTAGATTGTGCATATCATAATGATTAATCAAAGTGCTCCTCAACTAAGGATCCTTTCACACAGCAATATAACCCAGATAATCCACAATAATCCCAGATAATCCATAATATGGAGCCCCCGGTGGCGCAGTGGGTTAAACCCCTGTGCCAGCAGAACTGAAGACCGACAGGTCGCAGGTTCGAATCAGGGGAGAGGCGGATGAGCTCCCTCTATCAGCTCCAGCTCCTCAGCGGGGACACGAGAGACGCCTCCCACAAGGATGATAAAAACATCAAATCATCCAGGCGTCCCCTGGGCAACGTCCTTGCAGACGGCTAATTCTCTCACACCAGAAGCGACTTGCAGTTTCTCAAGTCGCTCCTGACACGACAAAAAAAATTCCACAATATCTGCTTTGAACTGGGTTATCTGAGTCCACACTGCCATATAACCCAGTTCAAAGCAGATAATGTGGGATTTTATACAGCTGTGTGGAAGAGGGTCCACATTGTTATAGTAAGTTGTAAAAGATCAACACCAAATGTGTGTGTGTTAAAGAAAACCTTATACTGTTAATCATAATGTGCAGCTGCTAATCTAGGTCAGCTAGTAAATTTGAGCCACACCCAGTGCGGTATAACTGTACGTGTTTTAGAATACAGTTCGGCTTTTGTTCTGAGGAGCTTATATTATTATTGTTGTTGTTTTTGTTGTTGTTGTTTATATGTAAGTTATATTAATTATACTGTTTTATTTGCTTGCTGTTTTGTTTTTACTGATGTGTTGTTGGGTTTAGCCTCATGTTAGCCGCCCCGAGTCCCCTTGGGGAGATGGTGGCGGGATATAAATAAAGAATTATTATTATTATTATTATTATTATTATTATTATTATTCTCACAGCATTTTGCTCAAACATTTGTGCTGCTCATTTGAAGGAAGATGAAGAAGCCATGCTCTTTGCATTCTATTATTCTTACAAGGACTATGTAAGTTTGTTGCACTGTTTATTTGTATGTTTTGACTCTGCTGACAAGAGTAAAGTTTTCTGTTCTTTTTCCTCTTGCCTTTGTGCAAAGTTATTGCATCTTTTGCATTGGACCAGACTAAATTCCGCTCAAGCGTAACATACATTTCTTAAGTAGTAATTCTGGCATAAAGCACCAAAAAAGGAACGCGGCTTATATATTCCTGCATATATGCATTAATATGTCAGCCTATAAGCTCTGTTCCAAAACTCACCAGGACGCTGATGGTTTCATGTAGGGGTCCACTGGTTTTCAAGCTTTCCTTGCCATTTTCAACGGTGTAATCCCATTCCAAGCCCATTTCGAGGAAGGTGTTGCTCTTTACATCTTTGCCCTTGGAGTTAAGAATGAAGTTGCCAGAAGCTTGGTTCTTAACAGCTGGAGAAAGAAGTGGATAAAGTAAATTTCCTTATTACGTCCTTCTTTGTGCATGGCGGAGGAAAACGATACAAAAGGAATTAAAGTAGAGGCCACAAAACATTCTAGGCTTATGTAAGCTATGGATGCATCTTCACTGTAAATGGAATGCAGTTTAACACCACTTTAATTGCCATGGCTCAATGCTATGGGAGTTTTGGGAGTTGTAATTTTAGCCTTCTCTGCTAAATTGTGCTGGTGCCTCACCAAACTACAAGGCGCATGGCACTCCCACAGCACCGAAGCATGACAGTTAAAGTGGTGTCAAACTGCATTTATTCCACAGGGCAAATGTAAAAATGGATCAACTTTCTAATAATATTTTAATGATTAGGTTAAGATTAGGTCCATCTCAGCTGGGATGGCAAAAATGGCTAAACATATGAGGGCACATTAAAGAATAATAAAGGATCTTACGATTTGAAACCAGAACAGAAAATTAGGCAAAAATTCAAAAATGTCTTGGTTCCAGCACAGACAAATATCAGAGGCATTTAGGAAAGAGAGAGAACTGGGTTTTGAAGATAAGAATTCATTTTGGGATAAAATCATCAAGACAGGAGATAAAGTCATTGCAAAAATATATAAAAATTATTAGGTTGGGCCACTGAAATGGAACAAATTAAGGAGTGCATGGTAAAATGGGCAGTTAACATTGGCCATTCAATTAAATTAGCAGAATGGGAGAAAATTTGGAGTTACAAAATGAAACAAACTTATGCATCAGATCTTAGTGAAAATTGGCTGAAAATGATGTACCAATGGTATATAACACCACAAAGACTATCAAAATGTTACAAAAATATCTCAAATAAGTGCTGGAAATGCAACCAGCAGATTGGTACTTTTTATCATGCATGGTGGACATGTGAAAAGGCAAAAAAAAATTGGACAGATATGCATCATAAAATCCAAAAAAATATTAAAAATTAGAATGAAGCTGGAAACAGAATACTACCTACTAGGGATGTTAAACCTAGAAAAAGAGGAAAATAAAGATGAAGGAAAAGGAAATTATAGAAGCACCCGAAAACCTAAAAGGAGATGGAAGTCACAAGCAACAACTTTTTAATATTTTACATATCTTTATCCTTTTTTTCTCCAATTATTATTTTTATTATTTTTTCTTTTTTTCTTTTTCTCTATCTCTTCTCTTCCTCATTTTTCTTCTATATGATTGTTCCCCCACATTTCATGTACACTGGATATATATATACCTATAATTATATATATATACCTATATATATACCTATAATTTTATTCCTTTGCAAACAAGTTCTCTCTGTTTATATTTATCTCTGTGCTGCTCTCTACCTTCTGAATTTCAAATAATAATAATAATAATAATAATAATAATAATAAGAAGAAGAAGAAGAAGAAGAAGAAGAAGAAGTATTGGCTCTTGCCAATAATTCTAAGAACAACTACAAAACTTAGTTTTGGGCTTCAATCTGTGTAGAGACTTTGCCAGAACCCACTGTCTCCCCTTCTCTCCTGCAGAAAATACTTCTAGAAGATTATCATCATCATCATCATCATCATCATCATCATCATCATTATTAGTATTATTATTCTCAGCAAACAAAAAGAAAAGTTTCATTCTCAGAAAACTCCTACATACCTACTGTACCTACCTACCTATAATTTCATTTCTTTGCAAACAAGTTCTCTCTGTTTATATTTCTCTCTGGGCACTAAAAAGAAAATAAATTCCTAAAAATCAGGGAATGGCCAAAACGTTACGAAACTTGTTGGGCTAACAGTGGTAGATGTGTCCTCCAAGTGTGGTCATTTTCATCCCAATAGCCCTAAAAATGATGGGTAGGGGCAGGGAAGCATGCAAAAACGGATCTGCTGATGTCCTAGAATTTGGCCAGCAAAAACGGATCGAGGTTCAGCCAAAATGCACAAGCCTACTCATATGGGCTTGTTTTCTTCCTCTGTAGAGGTGCATTAATGAATGATACTCCAATACCCTCACTCCTCACAGGGTATGATTTACAACCCTATATCTTCGGGGAAAGGCCAGTATGATACAGAGGTTTTAGTGGTGCTTTATGAATCTGGAAACAAGGGTCATGCCCAGTCATAAAAGTCACAGTCTCAGGGGCAGGCAATAGCAAACCCCCTCTGGTTAAATCTTGCAAAGGAGACCCCATAAGTTTGGAAACTACTTGAAGGTGCACAATAGCAACAACAATTTTAGAAAAGTGCTGCTACATATGTTTACTTTGTAAAGCATTCTAGCCTGATATTCCGAGTTCAGTGCAAATGTTGTTTTTAGGGATTACCCCCACATAATATTTTTCATTGCACACAAAGCCCTGCAGTGACTATTTACACTATAGAACTGATGACAAAATGAAATTGGCACAGGGCACAAAGGGGAAAAACATTCTCAAAATATGAATATAACTTTCCACTCAAGATCAGCAATGTGGAAGTTAATATTCAATAAGTGCTGGCTTGGAAATTACATCCTGCAATTCAGCCAAAGTTAAGCACTCAAAAAACTCACTGAGTTGACTGTGAGATTTTCTCTCATTATGATAAGGATGACTTTAATGCTCACTGGACTGAATCCTAAAATTGTCAACAAGCTCTTTTTTGATAACTAAACTGTTGAAAACACCTCTTTGGGAAAACAATGTAAGATGAGATATTGATTCTCACCCAACTCAATGAACATGTTTGGCTCTTACCAAGTGTATGGGCAGCAGACTCCATCTCCTCAATCTGAACATGCCTGGCGCCAGCTGGAATCTCAAACATTTTCAAAGCACCCACTGAAAATTCCAACAGAAAAAAACACATTCTTAATACTAAAAAAGGCGTACGGCAAGGCTGCATACTCTCACCCAACCCATTTAACATGTATGCAGAACACATCATGCGATGTGCGGGGCTGGATGAATGCAAAGCTGGGGTAAAAATTGCTGGAAGAAACATTAACAACCTCAGATATGCAGATGACACCACTCTGATGGCCGAAAGTGAGGAGGAGATGAGGAGCCTTCTAATCAAGGTGAAAGAAGAAAGCGCAAAAGCCGGGTTGCAGCTAAACGTCAAAAAAACCAAGATTATGGCAACAAGAATGATTGACAACTGGAAAATAGAGGGAGAAACCGTGCAGGCCGTGACAGACTTTGTATTTCTAGGTGCAAAGATTACTGCAGATGCAGACTGTAGCCAGGAAATCAGAAGACGCTTACTTCTTGGGAGGAGAGCAATGTCCAGTCTCGATAAAATAGTAAAGAGTAGAGACATCAGACTGGCAACAAAGATCCGCCTAGTCAAAGCCATGGTATCCCTGTAGTAACCTACGGATGTGAGAGCTGGACCTTAGGGAAGGCTGAGCGAAGGAAGATCGATGCTTTTGAGCTGGGGTGTTGGAGGAAAGTTCTGAGAGTGCCTTGGACTGCAAGAAGATCCAACCAGTCCATCCTCCAGGAAATAAAGCCCAACTGCTCAATGGAGGGAAAAAATAAGAGAGACAAAGTTGAAGTACTTTGGCCACATCATGAGGAGACAGGAAAGCCTAGAGAAGACAATTATGCTGGGGAAAGTAGAAGGAAAAAGGAAGAGGGGCCGACCAAGGGCAAGATGGATGGATGGATGGCATCCTTGAAGTGACTGGACTGACCTTGAAGGAGCTGGGGGTGGTGACGGCCGACAGGGAGCTCTGGCGTGGGCTGGTCCATGAGGTCACGAAGAGTCGGAGACGACTGAACGAATGAACAACAACAATACTAAATGCACTGTTGTCAGATATGAAGTCCATGAAACACCTCTTCTGAAGTAGCGCATGCCTTGACTTGAAGCACACACGTCGAAAAGTCACGATTCACGGGAAAAATCTGGCCCATCATGTAATTTTCTGTGGCTTTCCAGGTGTTGGACAATGTCTCCTGTATTCCACATCATTAGACCAGAGCTGATGGGAATGGGAATACAATAACACCTGGAAGGCTGAAGTTTGTTCTGTTTGGTCAGGATAGTTGGGTTTGGGTTGAGATACAAGGCTTGTGGATATGATGTCTGACTTTAAAATGTCTTCTAACCTTTCCCCACCTCAGAGTCACAAGTGCTGTTGGGTGACAATTCCCATTATCCCCAGTTTAAATGGCAGATAATCAAAAGTGATGGGAGTTCTCATTCAATAAAATCTGGGGACTCAAATTGGGTAAAAACTAAAGAGCACCAACCACTATGTAAAAAATTATAGTTGGCTGCCTGATTCCACAGATTGTGTAGCTTGCTGTCAACCTTTTTGGGTCATTACGGTCTTTGCCTGGCTTCAAGATGGCGATGACTCTTGCTTTCCTCCAGATTTTGGGGATCTGACAGGATGCAGTGCAGTTGTTCATCAGCTCCAGCAGCCAGCGCCTTGCATTTGGGCCAAAGTTCTTGATTTATTCCATCCGTAGGTCATCCAGGCCAGCTGCTTTGCCATTTTTACATTTATTGAGAGCCATGTCCAATTCAGTAGATGTAAAGGGTTCATGAAGGTTGTTGTTCTCAATCTCTGGTTGTCTGGCTATTGGTTTCTTTCCTACTTTGGTGGCAAAGTTGGGTTTCCCATTCTTCAAGAGTTGGTGTGCTATCTGATCTGCCTTTATGTTGGCATGGGTATTAGTTTGTGAGGGGTCATTGCTCAACCGTCTTAGCAGCCTCCACGCCTTCTGGCTGCTCCTGCCCATGTCGACCTCTGTGATCAGCTTGATCCACTGTTCTTTCTTGGCTTCAGAGATAGAGGACACAATGCTCTGCGCTGCTTGAAGGGCTTGCTCACTAAATGGGTCTTTGTTGACTGGATAATGATTGGTAATGAAATGTGGAGGACTTATTGTTTTTTATTATGTTTTATTGATGTTATTTGTAATGATTTTTTTATCTATGTTAAATATTTTTAATGTTTAATTATCTTTGTATTGTTGTGGGCATCGAATTGTGCTGTTTTGTAAACCGCCATGAGTCGCCCTTGGGCTGGGAATGGTGGTATAGAAATATAGTAAATAAATAAAAAAAATACTACTTTAACACACAAGATTATCCAAAAACTTCAGGGAAAACAGAAAGTTGTGTTCTCTTGACAACAGTAATGCTAGGGCAAAAACACCTTAATCCATCACCACTCTGTTTTTGGGCTCCAGTTGTAATTAGGGCCATTTCTCCTAACTGTGGTTCTAGTATAACTTCTAGAAAAGTACTAAAATCATCCTGACTTTTAGGGGAGGGGGAAGTGGCTACTCCTCTACTCTTACCTGCTTGCTTAGGAGATTTCACCAAAGTCCCTTTAACTGTCCGGCAATGGGAGTTGTCACCTCCGCAAACACCACACTTGTCATCCTGCTTCAGAGACCCAATTTCTTTATCACAACCAACATGCTGTGATCATCACAAGGAAAAAGAACACAAAGAGAATGGACACTGTGATTAAATTTCAGAATGGTAACTTCATCAACAGATTTTAATCCGCCACCAGCAATTATACAGTTTAGTTGAACAGTTGAACACAGAAATGCTGGACCACTCTCACAACCACCATGTCAGACTAAACAGAGAAGCCACTGAAATCCACAAGCATGTGGACAATTTCAACAGAAAGGAAGAAACCATGAAAATGAACAAAATCTGGCTACCAGTATTAAAAAACTCAAAAACTACAACAGCAAAACAACAGAGAGTAAACAATCAGGCACATCAAATCACTCTCAACAAAAGATTCCCCCCCGGCACTTCCAAGCCATTAAATGCTAATCAAGGTGGTCAGTTGAAACATTCACACCTAGCTCCAGCAGACAAAAGTCCTTTGTCCCACCCTGGTCTTTCCACAGATATATAAACCCATTTTCCTACTTCCAACAGACCTCACTACCTCTGAGGATGCTTGCCATAGATGCAGGCGAAACGTCAGGAGAAAATGCCTCTAGAACATGGCCATATAGTCCGGAAAAACCTACAACAACCCAGTTCAGGACTATTCTTTTTCATGCATTTATGGAAGCCCTGATACTAATCAGTCAAGTCTCCTTGATACACTAAGACCCATGCCTGAAACCAAATATGACATTTAATCACCACCTGGCAGTCTTGACTTTGGAAAGAAAATATAGAGGCCCCTTCTACACTGCCATATAAAATCCAGATTATCTGCTTTGAACTAGATTATATGGCAGTGTAGACTCAGATAATCCCGTTCAAAACAAATGTGGATTATCTGCTTTGATAATCCAGATAATATGGCAGTGTAGAAGGGCCCTAACACTACAAAAGATGAAACAAAATGTTTAACAATACTGTCAGATATGCACACATCATATACGAGTATACTTCAATAATGTTTACAACTGGGTAGGAGCATATTATCAGACTATCAAATAGAAAATAATCCTTAAAATTAAGATCTTTCTATTATCCTGGCCACGGTGGTCCATGCTCTGGTTACATCCCAAATAGATTACTGCAATGCACTCTACCTGGGGTTCGGAAACTGCAACTAGTCCAATGGGCAGCAGCCAGATTGCTCACTGGAGCATCGTACAGGGAGCATACCACTCCCTGTTACATCAACTCCACTGGCTGCCGGTCCATTTCCGAGCAGAATTCAAAGTGCTGGTCTTGGCCTATAAAGCCCTATATGACTCCAGCCCAGCTTACTTGTCTGAATGTATCTCCCTCTACGTTCCACCTTGTAGTTTAAGATCTGTTGGGAGGACCTGCTCTCGGTCCCACCAACTTCGCAAACACGACTGGTGGGAACGAGGGACAGGGCCTTCTCGGTGGTGACCCCCCGCGCCTGTGGAATTCACTCCCCAGCAAAATTAGATCAGCACCCTCCCTCCTTTCTTTCAGAAGAAAACTGAAGACGTGGTTGTGGAGCCAGGCTTTTGGCTAATGGATATAACGGCACCTGAACAGTGAATTGGACCAGATGACGATTGTTATAATGGAAATGTTTTTATGATTGTTAATTAATGTTGTTTTAATGTGCTGTATGGTATGATTTTATTCTGCTTTTATAATTGTAAGTTTTGCGGCATTGAATCGTTGCCGTTGTGAGTCGTTCTGAGTCCCCCTGCAGGGGTGAGAAGAGCGGGGTAAAAATGATGTAAAAAAATAAATAAATAAATTAGAGTGTTCATTTCTTTATATATATATTTTGAAATAATTTTTATTAGCAGAATTTAACCAGGCACCAATGACAAAAAGAAAAAGGGAAAAAACTACTTGTTCTTATACAATGCAAGTGGGAAAACAAAATAATTGTTTAGAAAAAAGAGGAAACATTGGTAGAGAACAGAAGTTAAAAATTGTGAGGAAGAGAAAAAAGAAAAAGAAAAAAAGTTTGTTGACTTCCATCTTCTCTTCAGTGGTCATTTAAACTTTTTTTATTTTTACTTTAAAATCAAAACATAATCCTTATTCTTCCCCGGTATCTCTTGTATTCATTTCTTCTAGCAATCGCAGTTCTGGTTCATCAACAGCCTGCTAAAAGTATTAAAATGGCAAAGCAGATGACCATTACCACAATTATAGTGTATGTGGTGCGAATTAACTGCCGCCACAGACAAAAAGCCAATGTGGTTGGATGGCCTTGGGTCTTGGTTTTTGAAGGAGCAATGTCGACCCATTAATTCAGTCATGAACTTTTTGGGAAGCCATGGACAAATGCATTCCCACAGGGATTGTATTCTTGTCTGCAAAATGGCTAGAAAAAGAATGAGAAAGACTTACTCTATTGGGGATGAAAATATATTTTTTTCCAACTCTCTTGGGGCCCTTCTACACAGGCCCTAAAGTGCAGACTAAACCAGAATAAAAGTGGGGGGGGGGGGGGGGGGCTAAATGACGTTTGCTTAAAATGTACACTGGATTGCATTAATGACCGCAAAACATGTGTGCTTAAAATCCGATTTCATCCGAAAAATGTGCATATTTGCATCACTCCACTCAAGAAAAACACAGGACTTCCTTGTGATACACTAGGGTGGACTGCTCCAGTGCATGTGGGCATTTTATAATCCTGAAACAGCTGTAAACAAATGGTGCCACGGACATACAGGTGGCTAAATAGAATCACAGATGGAAAGCAGCTCCCATGGAAACTCCCTACAACCATTCCTTTGTTCTATGTTTATGAAATTAAACAGAGCTTGAATTTATACAGTGAACATCAGCATGTCAGGGAAGTGATCCCAAAGGAAAATGGGGTTCAGAGGGAAAAAGTAAAGGCAGCAAGAGGGTGAGGAGAGATAATGACAAGAAATCTGCTTGTGTGCACATTCAGATATCTGCACCAGCGCTTATGAGCTCCAGCACATCTCAGAGCGTCAATTTTAAAAAAGTAAAGGCTACAACAGTCAATTAGGTTCTATCAGCATCTTGAAAGACATCTCCTTTCTGCTTCGAAAAAAATTAAAAATGGATGAACCTAAAGGTTCGTTTACATACCACACACTCCCCCCTCACACAAACACTGTATGGGTCTCTATAGCTGCACCTGGTGCCATCGTGAACGACTTGATTCATAAATACCACATCTCCAGTCTCCTCAGACTGGCAAATCAGCTCGCATTTCTGGGCATCTGCAGGAAAACAAAAAAATAGAAGAAAATGTTCTGTTTATTGATATTTGAGACAAAAATGGGACTCCGCATTTTCATGGTCAGTGTTCTGAGGAGGAAAAATTTAGTTTCTGGATTTCATACTATTGAGAAATACTTCTAAAAGGCTTCGTGTTGTTGTTTTTTATTGTCAGAAAAAGTAATCACCTCAAATTTCCCCTGCTTGAAAACCAAAATCATAGAACCATAATTATGAAAAACTGCTTCATAAATTAAATGAATTTGTCAATTCATTTTATTTTATTTTTATTCTATATACTGAGAATTTTCTATAGCTTTATTCATGCATTAACATATCCATTGTGTACTATACAACCATGTAAGCCACCCCGAATCCCCGTTGGGGGAGATGGTGGCGGGGTATAAATAAAGATTATTATTATTATTATTATTTTATTTTTATTATTATGTTGTACATCAATCATTGTTTAGGGCCGTGATAGTTCAGGGGTTAAACCACTAGCTGCAGAATATCCGCTGACCAGAAGGTTGGGAGTTCAAAGCTGTGAGTTGGGGTGAGCTCCCAATTGTCAGCCCAGCTTCTGTCAACCTAGTGGTTTGAAAGCATGCAATGTGAGTGGATCGATAGGTATCGCCTCGGCGGGAAGGCAAAAGAGAACCACATGCAAATATGCAGACATACCAGCAACACAATCAGAGTTATCTATGGACAACAGGCATGGAAAAATTGAACAAGAGCACCTCCCATGGCCGGAGTTGAGCATCACCTCCAGACGCCAGAGATAGAAAAAGGGGAAGAACATCTTTGTCTGTGTTGTATGTGGTTGTTCACTGGGTGAATGTTTGCCTCATATGTGTATAACTGTAATCTGCTCTGAGTCCTTCCAGGGAGATAAAGCAGAATATAAATACAGTGTATTATTGTATTATTATTACAAACCAATGGGGAAGATCTGTGGTGGGCGCAGATCTGTTCCTAGATTATATACTGATTTCAATGCATGATCTAGGAACAGATCTGCACTCACCACTACTCCAAAGTCATATATAATAGCACCTTTTCTATGCCTTCAGGGCAAATATCTAAAAGGGCATGCAGTGTATCACATAACAGTAGGAGTAATATGTGATGCCAGGTCAAATCACTCAGAATTACTTAGCATGAACACATGTCAATTTCATTGTGTACACTACTATTCTTTATATAAGGTTACTGTGAACACTCTGGTATTAATAAGAATGGAAACTGCAGTCAAAAAAGAAGAAAACTAGGACTTGGAAAAGCAGCTAAACAAGATCCTGAAGTGTAAAGATATATAATTGAATACTGAAGTTAGGATTGTCCATGTCATTATATTCCCCAGTTTTTGTATAATTGTGAAAGCTGGACAGTGAAAAAAGCGGATACGAAAAAGATCAACTCATCTGAAATGTTGTATCAGAGAACAGTTCTATGGATATTGTTGATTGGGCCCTCAAGAAAGTCAAGCCTGAACTCCCCTTTAAGCCAACTAAGAGCTGACATTGGATGTATGATTTCAACGAGATATGTACCATATTTTAGCTATTTAACTACTGTGGAGAATCTTAACTGCTTAGGAGTTCATGCCCATAATTTCTGATGAGATACTAAAACTTTTGTCAATACAGAATGTTCAACTCAATCTATCTGCCAGGACCAGAAAAGTTGCAGCCCTACCCATGTTGGACTATAGCTCCCATCAATCCAGACCACTGGACATGCTGGTTGTGGTTGATGGAAGCAGGACCCTAACAAATCATAAGTCATATACTGTAGTCCCTTTGGCACAAATTAAAGCCCCTTCTACATGACCATATAAAATCCAGATTATCTGATTTGAACTGGATTATATGGCAGTGTAGACCAATATAATCCAGTTCAAAGCAAATAATCTGGGTTTTATATGTCAGTGTAGAAGGAGCCGTATGCTCTGGGCCCATTAAAAAAATCCTGTATTCTAAATGTCTTGGTAACTTACCATCGTGGTGTTCATAAGGAAGCCAAGTGTGCTTCGAGCTTTGGTGGGTGTAATAGGAATTTCGCTTGGAACATTGCTGGGCCCGAAAATCCTCATAGGGACCCCGGCAATCTTCTGTATTGCAAACCTGATATTCATAGGTTGCACCTGGGCAATGACGGCCTCCATAGGCTGGTCTGGAAAATATACAAAAAACTGGTCAGGAAAGTGAATGCATATTCCTCTGCCAATCTAAAAAAAAAAAAAAGACTTTCAGTTTAATTCTAATGACAGACTCAATGTTTCTTTAATTTTTAAAAAAGGGTTTGTAGCCTTTTCTGCAGCCAATCCAGGGTCTGGAAAAGGAGGATATGCTTTAGACCAGCGTTTCTCAATCTGGGGGTCAGGACCCCTGGGGGGGGGGTCGCGAACGGGTGTGAAGGGTCATCAAAGACCATCAGAAAACAGCATTTTCTGTTGGTCATGGGGGCGTTTTTATGGGAAGTTTGGCCAAATTCTATCCTTGGTGGGGTTCAGAATGTTCTTTGATTGTAGACGAACTATAAATCCCAGCAACCACAACTCCCAAATGTCAAGGTCTATTTCCCCCAAACTCCACCAGTGTTCAAATTTCGGCATATTGAGTATTTGTGCCAAGTTTGGTCCAGATCCATCATTGCTTGAGTCCACGGTGATCTCTGGGTGTAGGTGAACTACAACTCCAATTGTTTAAGTCCACGGTGCTCTCTGGATGTAGGTGAACTACAACTCCAAAACTCAAGGTCAATGCCCACCAAACCTTCCAGTATTTTCTGTTGGTCATGGGAGTTCTGTGATGCCAATTTGGTTCAATTCCATTGTTGGTGGAGTTCCGAATGCTCTTTGATTGTAGGTGAACTATAAATCCCAGCAACTACAACTTCCAAATGACAAAATCAATCCCCTCCAACCCCGCCAGTATTCAAATTTGGTATTTGTGCCAAATTTGGTCCAGTGAATGAAAATACATCCTGCATATCAGATATTTACATTACGATTCATAACAGTAGCAAAATCACAGTTATGAAGTAGCAATGAAAATAATTTTATGGTTGGGGGTCATCACAACATGCAGAACCGTACTAAGGGGTCGCAGCATTAGAAAGGTTGAGAAACACTGCTTTAGACAAATGGCCTTGACTGGGTATTCTAGCCCAACTAATAGATCTGGGAAGAACACAGAAAGCATCCTTTAAGGATATAATGACATGCTGATGCCATCCATAACTAAGCAACGGGTACCAAATATCATCCTACCACTGCTCCATTACAGATGGCTTCAGCGTGCTTTATGCTTCTTAGAAAATGAGTATTGAGCATTCCTTATCAGGAATTCCAAAATCTAAAATGCTCCCAGGTCCACATGGGTAGCTAAGATAGTTACAGCTTTGCTTTCTGATAGTTCCATCTACACAACTTTGTTTCATACACTACATTATTTAAAAAATATTGTAAAACTTACTTTCAGGCTATGTGTAGAAGATGTATATAAACCAGTGGTTTTCAGCCTGTGATTCCCCAGGTGTTTTGGCCTACAACTCCCAGAAATCCCAGCCTGTTTACCAGCTGTTAGGATTTCTGGGAGTTGAAGGCCAAAACATCTGAGGACCCATAGGTTGAAAACTACGGATATAAACAATAAATACATTTTGTTTTTAGATTTGAGTCCCATCTCCATGATAGCTTCTTGTGTACATACCCAGATATTAGAAAATCTGAAAATAATCTAAACTGCATTTGGTCCAAAGCATATTGGATAAGTAAGTATTTTGGATTTCATCTTTCCTGATGCTCAACCTGCACTTTTTTGTATTGAAGAACTTAACTGTCTTCCATTATACTTTATTCCCAAAGAGAAGGTCAGAACTGGAAAGCTGCAAAGTACTCTCTCCCCAAGAAAATATTCCAGGCTACCATTTAAAAGTTCCCACAATGCTTCAAAGTAACATATATACATTAATTGTTCAGGGACCTCATAGCATTTTGAATGACAGCTTTTATCCACTGCCTTTGATATCATTCCAGACAAGGGATATCAAAAAGTTTAGAAAGTTAATTTTTGAAATTATTTCAAAAATAATTGAAATAATTGACTAAGGGCAACCTCGTGGTTTACTGTTAATTAACATTGCTTTGAAAATTATTCATAAGGAAACGCTTAAGGAATGATTTCATAAGTGGCATAAATCATAAACAATCCTTATCTATATACATAAAAATGTAATGTTCATTTGTGGTATTAACAGAACTGAAAAACCACTGGACGAATTGACACCAAATTTGGACACAAGACACCTATCGGGTCAATGTATGTCCTTCACTAAAAAAATAATTTTGTTATTTGGGAGTTGTAGTTGCTGGGATTTATAGTTCACCTACAATCAAAGAGCATTCTGAACTCAATCAACAATGGAATTGAAGCAAACCTGGCACACAGAACTCCCATGACCAACAGAAAATATTGGAAGTGTTTGGTGGCCATTGACCTTGAGTTTGGGAGTTGTAGTTCACCTACATCTAGAGAGCACTGAGGACTCAAACAATGATGGATCTGATTCAAACTTGGCCCAAATACATCATATGCCCAAATATGAACACAGATGGAGTTTGGGGGAAATAGACCTTGACATTTGAGAGTTGTAGTCACTGGGATTCACAGTTCACCTACAATCAAGGAGCATTCTGAACCCCACCAACGACAGAATTGGGGCAAACTTCCCACACAGAACCCCCATGATCAACAGAAAATACTTAAGGGCATCCAGTCCAACTCCCTTCACCAGGACAAGAAATGTAATCAAAGTCCTCCTGACAAAGAGCCATTCAGCCATAGATATAGATTGATAGATATGATTCACACACACATACACAGATAGAGTATCATAGATTTGAAAGGGACCCTTAAAGAAGGACAATGATACGTCGCATGTTCCAGGGTGGGGAAACCAGACACTCTCCACATCAACACTGACAAAGAAACAGCAAGAAATACTGTTTACCCACAAGAAGAAAGAAATTACATATATAAGAAACCAACACTTTCTCGTTACTTTATTTTCCAGATCAACAGACTGGGCCACAGCAACGTGTGGCAGGGGACGGCTAGTAATGCTATATAATGTCTAATAAAATCCATGAAAAATAACATTTAAAAATAATTTGAAAATATTACTCATTACAATTACATTCCCCAGATCCTAAGAGCATTCTCATCTGTTACATTACCTGTGAAATATTATTTATTTATTTTGGATATTTATATCCCGCCCTTCTCACCCTCGAAGGGGGAGTTAGAGCGGTTTACAATTGGCACTCATTGGATGCCACACAAACAATAACAATCAAACCACAGTTAAAACATTAGCTAAACAATAAATTAAAACATTCATTTAAAAACTAAAAAATCCAAGACCAAATTCACATCCACATCCAAAGTCATAGTCCAAGATCTGTCTATTGTCCATTATTAATATAACATGATTGCAGCATTGCTGAAAGCTGAATTGTTTGCAATTTCTCACTTCCAAGTTTGTTGGAAAGAGGCACATATAAGGAATAGAGGAAGTCACGGAAGAAGGGAAGTCATCATGATAGGAGCTGGCCTTGAGAAGGGCTCTCTTCTCACAACAACAACAACAACAACAACGACTCAGGACAGATTCCAGCATATACAAAGGCAAACATTCAATGCCTAGAAACAGTGATATACAAGTAAAGATAAAGGCTTCCCCTTTCATTTCCAACTCTGGGGGTGGTGTTCATTTCTAAGCCGAAGATCCTGCATTGTCCATAGACACCTCTCAGGTTACGTGGCCAGCATTACTGTGTGAAGTGCTGTTTACCATTTTGCCAAAATATTGATCTACTCACATGTTTGCATGTTTTTGAACTGCTAGGTATTTCAGTAGCTGGGGATAACATCAGGAGCTCACCCCATCCCATGGATTTGAACCCCCAACCTTCTGGTCAGCAAGTTCAGCAGCTCAGCGGTTTAACCCATTTTGCCACCACAGCCTCTTTGCCACCGCAGCCCATTATATTTGGCTTTGCACAGGTTCACCATTAGTTATAAGACTTAGCTAAGTTGTACTTACCCACATGCCCATAAACAATTCCGAGTATTTACAATTCTCATTTTAATTTAGTTACTTAGCAGGAAATCATATCCCTAAAGACTATAAAAGGAAATAGTACTCCTTTGGTGCTACAGCATGGAAGAATGGCTGCATTTCCTTGTCCTAAGAATTGCTACAACTCTTTTCTCCCCCTTTGCTGACAATTATAGGTATAAAGAATACTTTCACATTTTTAATGCTCAGTGAGAAAAGAAATCTAGGCCTTTCAAGATGTCTCATTTTATAAAATTGGATAGCTATCACAAGATCTTTTTTCTGCCTTTGCGGACTTTATAGCAAGAAAAGGTATTTGCATAAAACCTTCATTTTTACATAGAAAGCAGTCTTATAATAATAAATAATAATAACACTAGGTTCTTGTGGGTTTTTTCGGGCTATAGGGCCATGTTCTAGAGGCATTTCTCCTGACGTTTTGCCTGCATCTATGGCAAGCATCCTCAGAGGTATAATAACACTTTATTTGTACCCCGCTACCATCTCCCCAAGGGACTCGGTGTGGCTTACATGAGGCCGGGCCCGAATACAACAATACAAGCAAAACAACAAAAGTACAAGCAATTAAATAAAGCATAGACAATAAAATATACAACATTATCAATAAGACAACATGCCATTAAAAACAGTGGGAAGGCCAAATGTAAAGTTAAAATGGAAATAATGCTGGGACATGGACGAAAGGTGATACTGGTGTTTGTGGAAGGGCATACGAGCAGATCTAAAAAATGTAAAGTGCTTTGGAAGACAAAGTGCTATGGGATCATTATTCCGGGAAGGCACACTGGAACAACCACATCTTCAAGCTCCTCCTAAAGACTGCCAAGTTGAGGCCTGTCTGATGTCTTTAGGGAGTGAGTTCCAGAGTCGAGGGGCCACCACCGAAAAGGCCCTCTCTCTCGTCCCCACCAATCGCGCCTGCGATGCTGGTGGGATCGAGAGCAGGGCCTCTCCGGATGATCGAAGGGATCGTGTGGGTTCGTATACAGAGATGCGGTCATGCAGGTAGGCGGGTCCCAAACCATTCAGGGCTTTGTAGGTAAGAACCTGCACCTTGAATTGGGTCCGGTAATGAATGGCAGCCAGTGGAGCTCCTTGAACAGGAGGGATGACCACTCCCTGTAAGGAGCCCCAGTTAACAACCTGGCTGCCGCCCGTTGGATCATCTGAAATTTCCGGGCCGTTTTCAAGGGCAGCCCCACGTAGAGTGCATTGCAGTAATCCAGTCTAGAGGTGACTAAGGCATGGACCACCTTGGCCAGATCCGCCTTCCCGAGGTACAGTCGCATTTGGCCAGATCTGCCTTCCCAAGGTACGGTCGCAGTTGGCACACGTATTTTAGTTGTGCAAAGGCCCTTATTACACAAAATATACCAATTTTCTTTTGAGCAATCATATTTCATCCAGAAGTCCCCAAAGTCTCAGCCTTTTGGCTAAGATCAAGTGAAATACCTCTTCTTATCAGATATCAGAAGACCATTAAAGTTGCAAAACCTCTCACAATGTCATCCTTATAGAAGAATGTTTCTTGAAATCTCCATTCTTTGATGCATGAGAGAAGGGAACAATTAACAGATTTACATCCATACTGTTACTAAATGGAAGGGATAGGGGACATGGTCTCCCTCCATCCTCGTCTTCCCGAAAGCCAAACTTACGGTGGGTTGTTGCAGTTCCTGCTGCGAGAGCGCACCCCACCCCCACAAGTCCTGGAGCAGGAACCAAATTTGGACCAGGAACTCCAGCTGCCATCCTGGCTGTAAGGTTGTTCTGAAGTCTTCCAGATGCAGTGACCCTTGAAACACCACTGGAACAGGAGAAGAAACAGGGGTTACCTGAACACCTGCCTCTTCATAACTGTCCAGTGTTAGTGAGGAGAGCAGTTCTACAGCCACAGAAGCACCCGGCTTTACAATTGGGTTCGGAATCTGTTTCTCCCGCTCTCATTGGTCAGGCGGACAGTGACGGCTGTGAAGTCACGAAACCTTAAAGTAATAAAGAAAGGTCTCAGGGGGCCTGGGTGGCACAGTGGAGTCATTAAAAAAGCCTGTCACTTCTGCAGCACCTTAAAAAACCCCAAAACTTCACTGCGGCTGATCTATTTCTATTGCCCGCTTAGCCTTTTCACTCTGCCAGAAGTTTGTACTATTTACTTGGAACAGCTCAAAGACCGGTATGGCATAGTAAAATATAGAATAATCTGTGAACAAGTTTGCTATACCTGCAGTGAACATAAAGTGCAAACAGCAAATCCATTTATCCATTATTTGTTCCTAACAATACAGTGGATATACCCCAGGCATTTGATTTCACCAGGATTCCTGACTGTTTATTGAAATGTAATTTAACCATCAAACACAACTACCAAGCAGTAACAACTTGTAGTGTATATTTGACTCAATAGTGACTGTTTACTTAGGTTGTTACTAGTTGTCCCCTGCCATGCGTTGCTGTGGCCCAGTCTAGTGATCTGGAAAATAAAGTAATGAGGAAGTGTTGGTTTCTAATATATGTAATTCCTTTATGCTTGTGAGTAAACAGTGTTTCTTGTTGTTTCTTTGTCAGTGTTGATGTGGAGAGTGTCTGGTTTGCCTACTCTGGAATATGCAACATATCATAGTCCTTCTTTAAGGGTCTCTTTCAAATCTATGATTATATCTGTGTGTGTGAGAATCATATCTATCTATCTATAATTATGACTGCACGGCTCTTTGTCAGGAGAGCTCTGATTACATTTTCTTGACCTGGTGAAGAAAGTTGGACTGGATGGCCTTAAGTATTTTCTGTTGGTCATGGAAGTCCTGTATGCCATGTTTGGTTCAATTCCATCATTGGTGGAGTTCAGAATGCTCTTTGATTGTAGGTGAACTATAAATCCCAGCAACTACAACTCCCAAATGTCAAGGTCTATTTCCCTTAAACTCCATCTGTGTTCATATTTGGGCATATGGAATTCGTGCCAAGTTTGGTCCAGATCCATCATTGTTTGAGTCCACAGTGCTCTCTGGATGTAGGTGAACTATAACTCCAAAACTCAAAGTCAATGCCCACCAAACCCTTCCAGTATTTTCTGTTGGTCATGGGAGTTCTGTGTGCCAAGTTTGGTTCAATTCCATCATTGGTGGAGTTCAGAATGCTCTTTGATTGTAGGTGAACTATAAATCCCAGCAACTACTACTCCCAAATGACAAAATCATATTTTTTTGAGTGAAGGACATACATTGGGTTGTTAGGTGTCTTGTGTCCAAATTTGGTGTCAATTCGTCCAGTGGTTTTTGAGTTCTGTTAATCCCACAAACGAACATTACATTTTTATTTATATAGATTGTATATCGTGGGATTTGTGTATGGCCATGTTCTAGAAGTATTCTCTCCTAGAATTTCTAGAACATGGCCATATAGCCTGAAAAACCTACATCAACCCAGTGATTCTGGCCATGAAAGCCTTCGAATGGTTTCCCACATAGAATCACAGAGTTGGAAGAGACCTCATGGGCCACGCAGTCCAACCCCCTGCCAAGAAGCAGGAAAATCGCATTCAAAGCATCCCTGACAGATGGCCACCCAGCCTCTATTTAAAAGCCTCCAAAAGAACCTCCACCACACTCCGGGGCAGAGAGTTCCAATGCTGAACAGCTCTCACAGATAGGAAGTTCTTTGTAATGTTCAGGTGGAATCTCCTTTCTTGTAGTTTGAAGCCATTGTTCCGCGTCCTAGTCTCCAGGGAAGCAGAAAACAAGCTTGCTCCCTCCTCCCTGTGGCTTCCTCTCACATATTTATACATGGCTATCATATCTCCTCTCATCCTTCTCTTCTTCAGGCTAAACATGCCCAGCTCCTTAAGCCGCTCCTCATAGGGCTTGTTCTCCAGACCCTTGATCATTTTAGTCACCCTCCTCTGGACACATTCCAGCTTGTGAATATATCTCTTGAATTGTAGTGCCCAGAATTGGACACAATATTCCAGGTGTGGTCTAACCAAAACGGAATAGAGCATGGGGAGCATTACTTCCCTAGATCTAGACACTATGCTCCTATTGATGCAGGCCAAAATCCCATTGGCTTTTTTTGCTGCCACATCACATTGTTGGCTCATGTTTAACTTGTTGTCCACGAGGACTCCAAGATCTTTTTCACACGTACTGCTCTCGAGCCAGGCATTGCCCCCCATTCTGTATCTTTGCATTTCGTTTTTCCTGCCTAAGTGGAGTATCTTGCATTTGTCACTGTTGAACTTCATTTTGTTAGTTTTGGCCCATCATCTCTCTAATCTGTCAAGATTGTTTTGAATCCTGCTCCTGTCTTCTGGAGTATTGGCTATCCCTCCCAATTTGGTGTCGTCTGCAAACTTGATGATCCTGCCTTCTAACCCTTCATCTAAGTCATTAATAAAGATGTTGAACAGGACCGGGCCCAGGACGGAACCCTGCTGGCACTCCGCTCGTCACTTCTTTCCAGTGGAAGAGGGAATGTGTCGGTTTCAGGACTCCTCTCAAGACCCCTCAGAAAACAGGGGGTATCCTCATAGTAAAAAACAGAGGATCCTCTGAAGATGCCAGTGACAGAGGTAGGCAACGCATCAGGAGAAAATGCTGCTAGAATATGACCATACAGCCTGGAAACCCCACAACACTCCAGTGATTCCAGCCATGAAAACCTTAGACAATACATAGTAACAGTCACTATTGAGTCAAATATTTGGATCATTGGGTTTATTGATCTACATTTGATCTACATTTACCTCTATTCCTTTCCCACTAGAAAATGCTCAAAGTGGCTTAACAACAGAAAATTCAATCATCATACAACAGGAAAAAATTGGTTTTAAAACTCTGCTCGTCAGTGACAATGGGGAGAGGGATGTTCATGGGCAATGTTTACAAATATTTTTGGACAATAAAATGTATATTCACATTAATGCAGTGGTTCTCAACCTGGGGTCCCCAGATGTTTTTGGCCTACAATTCCCAGAAATCCCAGCCAGATTACCAGCTGTTAGGATTTCTGGGAGTTGTAGGCCAAAAACATCTGGGGACCCCAGGTAGAGAACCACTGCATTAATGTATATGGCTACCTGAAAAGATGCATTCTAGCCATTAAAGATTTATAAACCGTATAGACTAAAATATAAGCCAACCCGAATATAAGCTGACAAACCTAATTTTGCCACAAAATAACTGGGAAAACTTATTGACTCAAGTATAAGCCAAAAGTGGGAAATGCAGCAGCTACTGGTAAATTTCAAAATAAAAATAGACACCAATAAAATTACATTAATTGAGACATCAGTAGGTTAAATGTTTTGAAATATTTACATAAAACTGTAATTTAATATAAGTCTGTCCACCTCTGATTAAACCATTATTCTAACCTTCTTCAATGAAAATGTGCTTATGCATCTGTCCAATAATAATTAAGAGAGTAAAAGTAATAAATGTAATAATAATAACAATAATAATAATAGAGTAAAATAATGGAAATGTAATAATAATAGTAGTAATTGAGTAAAATAATAAATGCAATAATAATAATAGAATAAAGTAACAGAAATGTAATAACAATAATAGATAAAAATAATAACTGTAATAATAATAGAGTAAAATGATGAATGTAATAATAACAATAACAAACAGAGTAAAATAAAATAATAATAATATTACACCGGGATTGTGGCGCAGCTGGCTGAGTGTCAGCTGCATTAAGATCACTCTGACCAAAAGGTCATGAGTTCGAAGCCAGCCCAGGTTGGAGTGGGTTTCCAACCAATTGTGTGTAGCCTGTTGTCGACCTTTGCAACCCAAAAGACAGTTGCATCTGTCAAGAAGGAAAATTAGGTGCCACCTTAAAAGTGTGGGGAGGCTAAATTAACTCATTTATGAGGCCATAAAGAAGACTCCAGCAGAGCATTCCAGCGGGGAAGCATGCGGGGAATGCGGAAGTACTTCATCAGCGTCGCAGATGGACAGATGGCGTCTAGAAAAAGTTAAATAGCCTCTGTGTATGTCTGTACATGTTTGTATGTCAAAATTTGGCATTGAATGTTTGCCATATATGTGTACACTGTAATCCGCCCTGAGTCCCCTGCGGGGTGAGAAGGGCGGAATATAAAAGCTGTAAATAAATAAATAAATAACAACAACAACAACAGAGTAAAATAATAAATAACTTTGTCTCAGTTATAAGCTGAGGGGGGCTTTTTCAACCTAAAAAAGGGCTGAAAATTTCAGCTTATACTAGAGTATATACGGTACATGGTGTGCTGTCTGTGTGTCCACACGGGCATGTCAAGGTGTGTCTACATGGACTAAGTACAAGATATACCAGCCTTCAGGTAAAAATGAACATATTCTAAAGCAATAGGTACCTTGCCTGAAGCACACTCTGTTCCATCCAAGGGTGGTCCTTTCTTTGTTTTACAGAAGTAAGGATTGTCTGGGTGACTACACCACAGCTGCTTGCAGGGGTCAAATGTTCTGAACTGTGAATGAAGAAAGAAGAGCAATGCACACAAATGAGAAACAATCTCTGAGCTGGGAGAAAGAACAAACAGCTTGTTCTCAACTATCTACAATCTATGTAGTCATCGCTAAGAATATTTTGTTACTGTAACTCTCATTTTAAAAAATGATCTTAGCCAACAGGGAAAAAAGGAACTCCAGATTTGAGTTATTACTTCTCATCACAGAAATTCATGATGCAAAAGTTATGCTTTTCTTTCACATTATCCATACACCAGGAACATCTTCAACTCCTTAATATTTCATATCACACTATGGTTTAAATCACAGCAACAGAGCCTAAATACTGATTTTTAAAATACTGTACATACTCGAGTATAAGTTGGGTTTTTCAGCCCTTTTTAGGCTAAAAAAGACCCCCTTGGCTTATACTCAAATCAAGGTTATTTATTATTTTATTCTATTATTATTATTATTATTATTATTATTATTATTATTATTATTATTATTATGTGTATTATTTTACTCTATTTATTATTATTATTATTATTGCATTTATATTATTTTACTCTATTATCATTGCACTGATTATTTTTCTCTATTTATTGTTATTACTATATTTATTGTTTTACTCTATTTACCCCAGGTTTCAGCGGTGACCAGGGGAGCATTTGCACAGCTAAAGCTTGTGCGCCAGCTGCGCCCGTACCTTGTGAAGTCTGACTTGGCCACAGTAGTCCACGCTCTGGTTACATCCCAATTAGACTACTGCAACGCTCTCTACGAGAGGTTGCCTTTGAAGACGGCTCGGAAGCTTCAATTAGTCCAATGTTCGGCAGCCATGATACTAACAGGAGTGGCACGCAGGGAGCATACAACCCCTCTGTTGCGCCAGCTCCACTGGCTGCCAATTTGCTACCGGGCATAATTCAAAGTGCTGGCGTTGGCCTATAAAGCCCTAAACGGTTCCGGCCCAAGTTACCTATCCGATCGCATCTCTGCCTACGAACCCACTAAGACTTTGAGATCTTCCGGGGAGGCCCTGCTCTCGATCCCGTCTGCAACACAGGCACGGCTGGTGGGGACGAGAGACAGGGCCTTCTCGGTGGTGGCCCTTCGGCTGTGGAACGCCCTTCCCACGGACATCAGATCGGCTCCATCATTAATGGTATTTCGGAGAAAAGTGAAAACCTGGTTATTTGAACAGGCATTTGAACTGGCACTTCATGCAGTCATGCCGGCCAAATGACCTTGGAGGTGTCTACGGACAACGCTGGCTCTTCGGCTAAGAAATGGAGATGAGCACCACACCTCAGAGTCAGACATGACTGGACTTAATGTCAGGGGACTACCTTTACCTTGAATAGGCAGTGCAATGAATATAGGAATGGAACAATGGATGACAAGTTTGGATCATGTTTTCAGTTATGAGACGCCAGTGAATGGTTATTGTGTTAATTGCTTAATCTGTTATTGTGTTAATTTTTTAAAATATCCTGTTGTTGTTAGCATTGAATTTTTGCTGCTATTGTTGTTAACCGCTGTGAGTTGCCTAAGGGCTGAGAACAGCGGTATACAAATAAAGTAAATAAATAAATAAATAAATATTATTATTACATTTATTATTTTACTCTTTTCATTATTATTGGAAGGCTACAAAAGCACATTTACATCAAAGAAGGTTAGAATAATGGTTTAATCAGAGTTAGACAGTCTTATCTTAAATTACAATTTTATGTAAATATTTAAAAACATTTAACTTACTGATACTTCAATTAATGTATTTTTATTGGTATCTATTTTTATTTTGAAATTTACCAGTAGCTGCTGCATTTCCCTCCCTTCGCTTCTACTCGAGTCAATATGTTTTCCTAGTTTTTTATGGTAAAATCAGGTGCCACGCTTATATTTAGGTTGGTTTATATTTGAGTATATATGGGATTGAGGTAAACCTTGATAGCTAGATAGCTAGTATTATTTCAGGGTGGTTTACACTAATGCTCATTTAATCCCTCAGTTTTATAGTTGATAGGAAACTTGTACATTCCATAAATGTTCTCTTTCCCTGATAAATATCAAAACTGTTGAATTGTTCATCTGGAGAGGCCCTGCTCATGATCCCACCTGCATCGCAAGCGCGATTCGTGGGAACGAGGGACAGGGCCTTCTCAGTGGTGGCCCCATGACTCTGGAACTCCCTTCCCAAGGATATCAGGCATGCCCCAACATTGGCAGTGCTCAGAAGGAGCTTGAAAACATGGATGTTCCAGGGTGCCTTCCCAGATTAAGGAATCCCAAGCAATATGTCCCAAATGCACTTTATGAGAGACTTAGAAGTGTCTGCACACCCACTTACCCCCCAAAATATCCACCCTTTTTCACCTGGTCGTGCCCAGCATTTCTTTAAAAATGTTAATCTTTACATTTGGCCCTGCCAGGTTTTTAAATTGCGTCGTGATATTTTGTTACTGTTTTTGCTTTGCTATGAGTTATTTATTGTTGTATTGTATTATTGTGGCTATGTTTTTTGTTCTAATGTATTTTGGGCTTGGCCTCTTGTAAGCCGCACCGAGTCCTGCGGGAGATGGTAGCAGGGTATAAATAAAGGTATTATTATTATTATTATTATTATTATTATTGTCAAGTTTCACTTATATATAAGTAGCTGTCCCCGGCCACATGTTGCTGTGGCCCAGTCTCTGTATATGTATTTTGTGTAAGTGTATATATGTGTATATATGTGGTTTTGTGCATGTATTGTAATTATATTATTATTATTATTATTATTATTATTATTATTATTAGGCTTTTAAAGTCTCTTCAGCTGTGGTTTCAGTGTTTTTATTTATTTTATTTATTTTTATTTGTATATTAGCTGTCCCTTGACACGCGTTGCTGTGGCCCAGTCTGTGTATATGTGTTTTGTGTGTATAAGTGTGGGTATATATTTGTGTATATGTGTATATATGTGTGTTTGCGTGTATATATATATATGTTTTTGCGCATGCATTATAATGTGGTTTTTTTTTTTGCCTTTTTAAGTCTCTTCTGCTGTGTTTTTCAGTGTTTTTATGAGTGATTGTCACTTGTTGGCTGGATAGGTGTATTGTGTCCAAATTTGGTATCAATTCTACGACAGCCGCCAGGATTGTTTTCGCAAGAGAATGGAAACAGGAAACAACTCCACCAATAGAAGAGTGGATAGGGAAAATTAGAGAAATAAAAGATATGGACGAATTGACTTTTTTGTTGAAGAGAAACACAGGTAATATTTTAAAGAGGACTCTCAATAACTATCTGGAAAATTTGCAAAAATGAAAATAAATACGAGGGACAATTTTTCTCTTTGAGAAGTAATTTTTTTTTGTTTTTTATGAAAGAAAGACTATTGCCAAGAAGATGGAATGGAAGTCATCCCTTTTTTTGTGCCTTTTTGTTTCTTTTTTTGGTGCCTTTTTGTTTTTTGCTTTTGTGGGAGTTTTTTTATCTCCCTTCTCTCTCTCTCTCTCTCTCTCTTCTCTCTTTCTCTCCCTTCTCACCTTTCTAATATCTTATTGTTCTCATTCTTTCGTTGTATTCTTCTTATAAAGCTTAATAAAATTTCTTTTAAAAAATTAGTATCAATTTGTCTAGTAGTTTTTGGGTTATGCTATTCCCACAAACGAACATTACATTTTTATTTATATAGATCTGTGCAGCTGTTAAATACCAAAGCAACTTCAACGACATTGAATGTTCAAAAATACAGACATCTTATGAACATCCTCCTTCAAATGTAATCCAATCACCTTAATGAATAAATCAGATTCCCACATTAAACATTTCCAAAATTAGATACATTTTTACAAGGCAGCCTACATCCCACCATCCATGAAAAGCTGTGGTTGAGGGTGAGTAAATCCTTGGATGTGAATCTATATAAATAAAAATGTAATGTTCGTTTGTGATACCATCAGAACTCAAAAACCACTGGGGGAATTGACACCAAATTTGGACACTAGACACTATCTCAAGCAAGCTATGTTCTCCACTCACAAAACCCCCAAAAAACACTTCCCCTCCCTCCCCCCTCCCCCCTCAGAAAGACGTCCAACTTAAGCCTCAGGGAGGGAGGGGGGAGGGAAGGAGTGCACGTGCATGGCCAGCAGGCTCCCACGGAGGCTCTCTGTTCAGGAGCTGGAGGAAAAGCCCTCATCCCCGCAGGCCTGCCTTAAAATATCTCTCCAGACCCGACTAATCTACCGCCGATGGGATGGATTCGGGAGAAAGGAAACTCTGCGGAAGCAAAAGCAATCAAGCTCAGAGCAGATCCATTGATAACCCAGGCTCAGAATACAGAACCCCCTATTCATGTCAGGCAGGAAGACCCCATTCAAGCCCACCCAACAGATGGCCATCCAATTCCAACCCCATTTTGCCAGGCAGGAAGACACCATTCATTCTACAAATATAGCATCCCAAGCATATAGGATCAAATAGCATAATAATAATAATAATAATAATAATAATAATAATCCAAAATAATAAATATATCAACTCTAATAGGCTTTAAGTCAATGATATGACACATAAAAATCTATCCCAAAGAACTACAAAAAATTGAACTGGCCCAATGAATCCATACAGCTATGTAATAATTGGTCATATATATCTATCAATTTATATAACCCTTTCAAAATATTTTTGATAACATGTTAATTATAAAATACTTATTTAATTTTAAAATATTTAATTATTTTAATTTAAAAATATTTAACTTTTGAATACTTCATTTAGATATTTTAAGTTTAAAATATTTGTTTAATTTAAACATATTTTAATATTTTCATTATAAAATATTTAATTTTTTAGTTCTAAAATATTTACCTACAACCTACCAACCTATTATGTTCTATCCATCTACCTTCTGTTCCATCTATCAATGTCCCTTCCATCTGTCCCTTCTGTCTATTGTTTCAACTGGAATTCCTCTCTTATTTGAGGGCCACAGCAACATGTGGCAGGGTACAACTAGAGAGATATAAAATGCATGGCATGTGGTGGGAGGAATCAGTGCAAATCAGATGTGCTGACTTGCATGGTGGAACGTCACCGGTGGACACAACCCAAACATGTGAATCAGCCCTGGGGAAAAATTTCTTTATCCTTAAATGTGAGAGAGAGAAGAAACAGTGGGCCATGCCAACAGGGTTTCTATACTCACAGCTGTACATGTTTTGTAGCCCACACCAAAATCAAAGCGGCATTGCTCATCCATCGAGTAATTGATTCCTGGCAGTTCTGGCAGCTTGGGCCAGTTGTGCTCAAATGGGTCATCTAAGAGGCAGTCGTAAGAACTACAAGCAAGAGTGAGAAAAAAGTTGGTGTGTTGCCACATTCATACATTCTTCACAGCTTTGACATCTGCATTCAGCTACTCCAAAGATGTTTACCCTCAAAGTATTTCCATGTCCCACCAATTCAGCGTCTACAAAACAAAAAGTTTTAACTCCCAGGAAGTAGACCTACTGTATGTAACGGTTCAACTCCTGCTTGCTACATCGGGACCAGTGGTAACGGTGGAATGCTGCTTGCACAAGTGGTGCCATAATACTCCCCATGCTGGTCTCATCGGCACATCGGTTTCCTTGGCCATCATGTTCCATACCTAACCTGTTAAAAAAGTCTGTAAGCAGTGCTTCCCAAGGACTATGAAACAACAATGAATAGTGAAATAGAAATAATATTTTGAACGTATTGTCGAAGGCTTTCATGGCCGGAATCACTGGGTTGTTGTAGGTTTTTCCGGGCTATATGGCCTTTTTCTAGAGGCATTTTCTCCTGACGTTATTTTCTCCTGACGCTACCAGTATTTAAAAACTCAAAAATTACAACAGCAAAACAACAGAGAGTAAACAATCAGGCACATCAAATCACTCTCAACAAAAGATTCCCCCCAGGCACTTCCAAGCCATTAAATGCTAATCAAGGTGGTCAGTTGAAACATTCATTCATTTCATTTCATTCATTATTAACATTATAAATGCAAATTGACTATTTTATGAAATATGCATTCTGTATATTTTTTACCTTGAAATATGCATTATATACATTTTATATACAATTTTATTCCAATAATTACACTACAAAAACAAACAAGGACATCTAATCACCTCTCAACAAAAGTTTGCTCTAGGCACTGTCAGGCCATGATATGCTAATCAAGGTGGTCAGTTGAAACATTCATTCATTTCATTTCATTCATTATTAACATTATAAATGCAAATTGACTATTTTATGAAATATGCATTCTGTATATTTTTTTACCTTGAAATATGCATTATATACATTTTATATACAATTTTATTCCAATAATTACACTACAAAAACAAACAAGGACATCTAATCACCTCTCAACAAAAGTTTGCTCTAGGCACTGTCAGGCCATGATATGCTAATCAAGGTGGTCAGTTGAAACATTCACACTTAGCTCCAGCAGACAAGAGTCCTTTGTCTCACCCTGGTCATTCCACAGATATATAAACCCATTTTCCTACTTCCAACAGACCTCACTACCTCTGAGGATGCTTGCCATAGATGCAGGCAAACGTCAGGAGAAAATGCCTCTAGAACATGGCCATATAGCCCGGAAAAACCTACAACAACCCAATATTTTGAACACCTATTCCATCTTCTTGCTTGTCTTTTGCCACATGTAAAAAAGCAATGCTGATGAACATGGTATTTTGGCCAGACATTCTAAGCAACTAATCTCAGGTTTATTCCAAAGGTGAAAAATCTATCTGATCAGAGACATAAGAAGACCTCATTAACAGATGACACTGCCTACCCTTCCTTAGTCACAGTACGCTGGCAACATTTATTTATTTACTTATTTTATTTACAGTATTTATATTCCGCCCTTATCACCCCGCAGGGGACTCAGGGCGGATTACAATGTACATATACATGGCAAACATTCAATGCCATAGATATACAACATATATAGACAGACACACAGAGGCTATTTAACTTTCCAGCTCTCATGAGATTATTATGGCCACCAGAGGAGCTGTCGGTTCACTGTCCATTTGTGACACTGATTGAGTACTTCATCAGTGCTTGTTTGCTTGCTGGAGATTTTTATGGCATCATAAGTTAAATTAGTCTTCCCGCATAAGTGGTACCTAAATTTCCTACTTGACAGATGCAACTGTCTTTTGGGCTGCAAAGGTCGACAGCAAGCTACGCAAATTGGTCAGAAGCTCACTCTGACCCGTGCTGGCTTCGAACTCATGATCTTTTGGTCAGTAGTGATCTTAATACAGTTGACTCCCAGCCAGCCGCGCCACAGTCCCGGTGCAAATTTCACTCATTTTGAGCTCATGGCAGAAACTCAGCTGATCCAGACCCAGGTATTTCATGTTCTCTAAGTATACTTGAGGCTGCATTACTATAGCTTCACCTCCAAAAGGGTGAAATATAAAAGACTGCATAATACGAGGGGTATTTTTTAAGTAAGGTCCGTTTTGTTGTAGACACTAGTAGTTTGCGCGCATACCGCAACGAGCACGTGCGTCGTGTACCGGCATGCCTCGGGAACAACTGTGCTCCGTTTCCGCTCTGTAGCTAACCTGTACGGTTCTGTTCTGTGCTTTAAAAATGTTTAAGACTATCAACTCACCCGCCGCATGTGAGGTTCGCTCAGTGATACGGTTTTTGTCAGCAAGGAACCTGCCTGCTGCAGAAATCCATCAAACATTTTTAAAGCACAGAACAGAACCGTACAGGTGAGCTACAGAGCGGAAACTGAGCACAGTTGTTCCCGAGGCATGCCGGTACACGACGCACGCGCTCGTTGCGGTATGCGCGCAAACTACTAGTGTCTACAACAAAACGGACCTTACTTAAAAAATACCCCTTGTATATTGCGAAGGAATCGACATCAGAAGTTTGTTTTTCTGGAGAACAGGCCTGCTATTAAAAGTTCTAATTAAGCTGGCAACTTTGAACAACAGCTGGAACTAACTGCACAGAATGTCCTGCCAAGACTCCCGCTAAGCAGCAACACTCACTGTAAAGATATGTGACCACCAGTGAACAATCCCCACCCACCCCCAGCAACTTACACATGTCCAGTCTCGTGAGCAACCACAAATGCAGAGGAGAATCCATCTTCATGATTGAGGGTGCAACTGCGCAGAGGGTGGCACATCCCAGTGACAGGAGCATACCCTGGAATGAGGCAAAGGAACAAAACGAAGAACAAGAGCAAAGACAAAGAGAGAAGGGAGGGAGAAGAAAAAAGAGTGGAGAGAGGGTACATGAGAAAGAAGAAACCATGCACTGGAATTGTTTCAATCATATTTCATGCTTGGTTCCCACTGGAGGGCCATGAACACACAGCTGCCTGGGAATAGGAACAAAACCCATTAGGATGTTCCACCAGACATACATCATGAAAGCAAAAAAAACCCAAAAAACTGTCAGGAATTCTCATTAAAAATACAGCAATTTAAATCTCAGTACATAGGCACCCACCCAAACAAGCTTCTGAAATGTGGTATTTCTTTTATATAACCTTTCCGTTTGGCACTTTCTGGCATTTGAGAAAATGTTCAGACAAGCTAAAAGAAAGGATATATCAGGTCAACCATGGCCCATAGATCCTATAGCCTAGTGTTTATCAAAATCTGATGACATGATGGCAACAGTATTGGACAGCAATCACTCCCAAAGTGACCCATTTAAGGTGGGATCAGGTGTCAAACAGGGATGTGTTGTTGCCCCAACCTTATTCTCCATTTTCATTGCTATGATACTTCATCTTGGTGATGGGAAGCTTCCCACCGGAGTGAAAATCATCTATTGGACAGATGGCAAGCTATTTAACCTCAGCTGAAAGCCAAAACCAAGGTTACAACAACATCTGTTATAGAACTCTAGTATGCTGATGACATCATCTGTGCGCATTCAGAAGAAGACCTACAAGCCACTCTAAACACCTTCACAGAAGCATACGAGAAGCTCGGCCTGTCACTGAACATCGAGAAAACCAAAGTGCTCTTCCAGCAGTCACCAGCCAATCCCTCTCCAATGCCAGAAATACAGCTTAATGGTGTAACATTAGAAAATGTTGACCATTTCCGCTCCCTTGGCACCACCTCTCCACAAAAGTCAACATTGACACTGAAATACAACACCGCCTGAGCTCTGCGAGTGCAGCATTTTTCCGAATGAAGCAGAGAGTGTTTGAGGACCGGGACATCCGTAGGGATACCAAGGTGCTTGTTTATAAAGCTATTGTCCTCCCAACCCTGCTATATGCCTGCGAGACGTGGACAGTCTACAGACGTCACATGCAACTCCTGGAACGATTCCATCAGCGCTTGCCTCCAAAAATCCTGCAAATCTCTTGGGAAGACAAGTGGACAAATGTCAGTGTGCTGGAGGAGACAAAGACCACCAGCATTGAAGCGATGGTCCTCCACCGTCATCTGCTGGACCGGCTATGTTGTCCGGATGCCCGACCACCGTTTCCCAAAGCAGTTGCTCTATTCTTTATGCTTGTGGGTAAACAGTATTTCTTGCTGTTTCTTTGTCAGTGTTGATGTGGAGATTGTCTGGTTTGCCTACTCTGGAACATGAAACATATTATTGTCCTTCTTCAGGGGTCCCTTTCTTTTCTGTTGGTCTTGGGGGGGGGGGCGGGTTCTGTGTGGGAAGTTTGCCCCAGTTCTGTCATTAGTGGGGTTCAGAATACTCTTTGATTGTAGGTGAACTATAAATTCCAGCAACTACAACTCCCAAATGTCAAGGTCTATTTTCCCCAAACTCAATCTGTGTTCATATTTGGGCATATGGAATATTTGTGCCAAGTTTGGTCCAGATCCATCATTGTTTGAGTCCACAGTGCTCTCTGGATGTAGGTGAACTACAACTCCCAAACTCAAGGTCAATGCCCACCAAACCCTTCTAGTGTTTTCTGTTGGTCATGGGAGTCCTGTATGCCACGTTTGGTTCACTGCCATTTTTGGTGGAGTTCATTTTTGCTCTTTGATTGCAGGTGAACTATAAATCCCAGCAACTACAACTCCCAAACGACAAAATCAATTTTTTTTTTGAGTGAAGGACATACATTAGGTTGTTAGGTGCATGCTGTCCAAATTTGGTGTCAATTGGCCCACTGGTTTTTGAGTTCTGTTAATCCCACAAATGAATATTAAATTTTTATTTATATAAGAAGATAGATGCCATCTATTTCATGAATAGATTCAATACATAATAGAGGAAATGGGGCATCACTGGTGGATTTTGGCAGGTGAGGTTCAAAAAAGTGTCTTTTCTAACATTGGATCACTGGTACAATCAGAAGTCTCTGTGACATATTTTCCAAGGTATAACTTCACCAGAGTGAGAAAGGAGATGGTAAGCTTCAACACCATAGCAGTAACATCTGTAGTTCATTAAACATGGTGTTAATGAGGAGATATATTATGCTACTTCATCAGGCCAGCATCACATCTCCTTATAAACAGCTACTGCATGAGAGTGGATCGCATTGCTATGAACACTGGATTCTATCCAGTTGGGTCCCATTCCAAAGGAAAGCCCTTCAATTCAATCAAAGTTTCCATGAGATGGCTTCTTCATTTATCCTTCTGCACTCCACAATGCTCCCTCCCAGTTTATTCCATGGAATGGAGGCACCATTTAGATCACCACAAAAGGTGAAACGAGAAACTGAAGGAAAAGGGAGGAAACTGTGAAAATCATCTATCTCTTCTGTCCATTTATTATTATTCATTGGTATTACTATAGAAAGCGCCTCTCAAAAATGATTCCTTAGACTCATAGCGTTGGAAAAGACCACATGGGCTATCTGGTCCAATCCCCTGCCATGCAGAAAAGGCACAATCAAAGTACCACTGACAGGTGACCATCCAGTCTCTGTTTGATAGCTTCCAAGGAAGGAGCTTCCACCACACTCCGTGGCAGAGAATTCCAATGCTGGACAGCTCTTACAGACATGAAGTTCTTCCTAATGTTCAGGTGAAATCTCCTTTCCTGTAATTTGAACCCATTGCTCCGAGTCCTAAGGCACTTCCAGACTTCACTTAAACACATTCCAAAGTGAGTTTAAGAAATCTACTTAGGCACATGTTGAAGTCCCCACACTTTCCTACAAAACCTGTACTTTCCCGGTACTAATACCCAGAAGCCCCCTCAAAATAATCCCTTAAAAATTAAAACAACATACTCATGAGCCATTAAACTACTACTGAAGTCCTCCTCATGCGTAAAAATGATGCACCAGGAGAGGGGGGTGGGTGGTGGAGTGATTTTCCTACTCAGCCATCATCTCCTGCCGTGTCATTTCTCTACACACTAGGAGGACTTCAGCACTATTTTAATGGTGACCGGGTAAGTTTTTTTAAATTTTAAGGATTTAGTTTGGGGTTTGGGGGAAGGGGCTGGTGCCATCTTGGATTTTTGGGCTCATGCAGCCCCCCCCCCCCAAAAAAAAAAACAGAGACAGCTGTGTGGATTGGGCCCAGAAATTGTGTGATGTGATCCCCAGGCTCAATCCACAATGGGCCCACACATGGAAAGACTCAATCTTTTCAAAGATCTGGGTCTTGTTGTTGTTCATTTGTTCAGTCGCTTCCAACTCTTCATGACCTCATGGACCAGTCCACGCCAGAGCTCCCTGTCGGCCGTCACTTCAAGGATGCCATCCATCCATCTTGCCCTTTGTCTGCCCCTCTTCCTTTTTCCTTCCATTTTCCACCGGGTAATTGTGTTCTCTAAGCTTTCTTGTCTTCTCATTATGTGGCCAAAATACTTCATCTTTGCCTCTAATATCCTTCCCTCCAATGAGCAGTCAGGCTTTATTTCCTGTAGTATGGACTGGTTGGATCTTCTGGCAGTCCAAGGCACTCTCAGAACTTTCCTTCAACACCACAGTTCAAAAGCATCTATCTTCCTTCGCTCAGCCTTCCCTATGGTCCAGTTCTCACATCCGTAGGTTACTACGGGGAATACCATTGCTTTACTATGCAGATCTTCATTGCCAGTGTGATGTCTCTACTCTTCACTATTTTATCAAGATTGGTCCCAAGAAGTAAGCATCTTCTGATTACCTGGCTGCAGTCTGCATCTGCAGCAATATTTGCACCTAGAAATACAAAGTCTTACCAGGTAGTTGTAGGTTTTTTCGGGCTATGTGGCCATGTTCTAGAGGCATTCTCTCCTGATGTTTCGCCTGCATCTATGGCAAGCATCCTCAGGGGTTGTGAGGTACAAGCCGAGGGGGGCTTTTTTAGCCTAGAAAAGGGGCTGAAAAACTCAGCTTATACTCAAGTATATATGGTATCTGGTAAGGCTGGGTAACCACAGAAAAATTTGTTTCTAAACTCGATTCCTTTTTAGGGGGGTTTTGCGTTTCGTTTTTTAAAAGAATTCCGAAATTTTTCTTTAAAAAAGTTCGAAATATACAAAATTTCGTAAATTACGAAACAATTACGAAACAATTACAAATCGATTCGTTAATGGCGGACGCGACTGCGCAATACACTAAAAAACCTCCAAATGGGACAGGGGGAACTTCTGAAGCTTCCCTCTCCCTCTGTTGTTGACTGTTGGTGTGATAATTTATTTTTTATCACTGATAAAACAAACAACAACCCTAAAACTTGCACCAGACATACGGAAATAATAACGAAACAATTTCGAAACGATTTCGAACCAATTACGAAACAATTACGAAATAAATTGAAAAATTCGTTTCGATTTTTAGTTGCTCCTGCATGGCTCAATATCGGATCGTAAGCTAATTTAAATACGAATCAATAACGAATTACGAAATTAACGACCGAAACCGCTCAGCCCTAGTATCTGGAAGACCATTTTCATTGTCATCACACTAACTTAACATGTTAGTAACTGGGACCCTAATCCAGAAAGAAAGAGGCAAGAGTAATTTCAGCAAAGTTAGAAGGAAAATGTTTACTTGGTGTGATAAATGAGCCAACCTCAAATCGCAGGACAGAGATTCAGCTACCTCTGGAGATCTCTGTAATAGCACAGAAGAATCCACATAAACAGCTATTCCAGGGGTTAGGGAGAGAAATAATCACTCTTCTTTTCCCATGATAGCCTCTCATACACAACCCTACGCACTGCATTCCACCCGGACAGAGGCTTCAGCGTTTTAAAGCGGGCAGGCTTGCCAA